TGGGTGCCAGGTCACTCTGGTATTGTGGGTAATGAATTTGTTGATAAATTAGCGAAATCTACAAAAGATATAAATATTTCCGATTTTAAAGTTCCGTACTCAGATTTAGTTTATTCAATTAAACAAAATATGATGAAACGTTGGTCTAATTACTTGTCTAAGTCCAGAGAAACGAAAGGTAAATGGTTAGCTGAAATAGTCCCAGTACCTAGTACTAAATCTTGGTTTGATAATTTTAGATTCTTCCCGGGAAGAGCCTTTATATCGATTATTTGTAGATTACGTATAGGCCACGGCCATTTTCCTGCGCATCTTTTTAGATTAAAGTTAAGTGAATCAGCTGCATGTATTTATTGTAACTCTGGCATGTGTGATCTAGATCATATTTTTTTTAATTGTCCTGAATTCAATCAACAGAGATTATTGTTTAATGCATTATGTAAAGACACAGGCTTAAAATCTATTCCTAATTCTATTCAAGGTATTTTAAAGCTTCCACAACTATTCTCAATAGTGTATAATTTTGTACTTCACACTATAGGACGACTATGAATGTATAATTCATGAATGTATCATAGGTCTCCTGCTTATGTGCAAGTGTAATTATTTTTTTATAACGACTCATGTTCTTTTTTGTTGTTTGTTGAAAGAAAACTTGTATTTTTTTATAGTAAGTTCTTGCAATTCATTTTGTCATTAATTTGTTGTTTTCAATCATTTGTAATTGTTTCTTGGTTTGGTTTGTTTCTTTTATTTGTGTTTTTATTGTAAGTTCTAGTTCATGTTCTATTTTTTTTGTAAAATTAGCTTAAGCTGATGGCCGTGTTGCCAATGCTTTCAATAAATTAAAAAATCTCAGTCGCATCGCTCGAAGCGAATACATCGGCCGTCTCATTCTTTAGGCCGTGACGACTTCGAATTAAATTTTCAAATTCGTTCTAGATCACCCCCAAACATATTTCATTTAAAATAATAAACGAAATGAACGAAATAATATTATCAAGAATAATGAATAATGGCGGGCTGAACTACGTTTGCGTCAACGACTGCGGCACACTAGATCCGAGCACGAAAAAAGTCATCAAGCAAGAAAAACCTTACAGTTTCGATCTTTTCCAAAATGTCGGACAAAAGAACAAGCGGGAAAACGAAGCGTGGGCGCCATTTGACAATTTTGATACCAACGTTTTTAATTACGAAAATTATTTAGGCCTCCACGGATACGTCCAGGAATCCAAGGAGAAACCAAAAGAAATTAAATCACATTGTAAGGAATTAGTTAATGAAAATTTGAATTAAAATTTAAGTATTTTTTTTGTTTTTTTATTTTTTTATTTAGTCATTGCAGCTACGCACATACTTATTGCGTTGTGTGACAAAAATATCGATGAGGACAGTTACTATTAGAAATTATTGTAAGATATTTTTTTAACTCAACCGTAAGCAATCAAAATAGGAGTTACTACTTTATTTGATTACGGTTTTGTTTTCGTAATAAACGCATGAACGTAATGAACGGAGATTATTTATTGCTTATATGGATGGACGAGCTCACAGCCCACCTGGTGTTAAGCGGTTACTGGTGCCCATAGACATCTACAACGTAAATGCGCCACCCACCTCGAGATGAAAGTTCTAAGATCTCAGTATAGTTACAACGGCTACCCCACCCTTCGAACCGAAACGCATTACTGCTTAACGGCGGAAATAGGCGGGGTGGTGGTACCTACCCGTGAGGACTCCCAAGAGGTCTTACCACCAGTGAGAAAATTACGTTTATTCGCGCCAGATTTTATCCCAGGATTTGTAAACGGAGTAAAATGTCCCTTCAGAACAAGATGACACTACAAAACTTGAATATGCCCTGTTAAGACATACGCAAGTGTGGTCTTTGCTCACGCCATAGATTATACACTTAATGCTCACGCGGCCAGCACTCACAACTTCGCCTAAATTACGTTGAGTTATTACCATTGAAGTTCCCTGTTCGATATAAGGGCGTCGCACACGGGCCACCGGCCACAACCACAAAACGCCGCCACCGGAATATTTCCTGAATTTTCATACACTTTATATGTAGCGTGTGGCGAGTCCTTAAGTAATGTATGAAAACAACAGGAAATAGGTTGGTAGCTGCGTTTTGTGGTTTTCCCGTGTGCGGCGACACTTAGAAATATAAGCGTATTATCTATGTATGCTATGCTTCGATCAACAATAGTAATGTTGATCGAAGATGCTATGTCATGTCACCATAATAGCTGACTTTTTGGCGGGAACGCCAGGGGTGAAGTTGTGTGATTTGTTTTATTTTGTTTATGTAATGTTTCTTTAAGTTTAAATGTGTGGTTAAACGATGATTTATTAACTTTTTAGTATCTATGAAAGTGCACAAATGTGGGAAAATGAAACAAAGCTGCTGGACGTAACTTCTCGGGATCCTTCAAAAAGTCAACTGAAAAAATTTCAGTAAATCACCACCATTTTACTGATATTATATTTAATCCCATATCATCTCATTTAATTACATTCCAGTTAATTAATGTTTCAAATTAATCATCTTCATTTCATTTTACTCCATATTATCATTTTTCACTAAAATAAGAATATACATTAAAATAAGACAACCTAGTCATAATTACCAGGTCATAAAATCCCTTAAAAAATACTATTAACATTAAAAAAAGTTTATTGAATTATAGATACAGTATGTAGTTGGCCCCATAGATTATACACTTAATGTTTGAGGTTGGCCCAGTGATTTCTCTAAAATATTAACACGTTAACTGACATGTAGGTCACCGGTGCCCTACGTGGCGCACTGAAGTGATTATATCGATTTCTCTCTTCGATTTTTTTTAATAAGACGTCGGAATATCTAGTAGACTAAGAAAGACGAATCCGAATGACACTGAGAATGAATCTATTTCTAAAAAACTAAAACAAAATATTAAAGAACAAAAGAAGGCAAAGTTAGGCAATCCTTAGGTGCCTTAGTAACAGAAGTTGACATAATTACTTCAGTGCGCCACGTAGGGCATCAGTGACCTACCCGATAGTCAACGTCTAATGAAAATTCCTCAAGTATTGTTTGTCATGGCACACTTTTACAGATATCAAAATTTAACCGCCCACAAAATTAAATTTAAAAGTCATTGCCTTACCTATATGCTGTATAGAAAAGTATAAAATGACAAAATTGTCGCGGCAGTGCTTTAGAATCACCGAGTTAGCCATATGAATATCGGTGTATAAAAATAATTGAATTTAAAAAATAACTCTATACGCTAATTTTTAATTAACCGCTAAGAAGTTTTAACATCTTTAAGGCCACTTGTTGTATACTAAGCACATAGAATACTTTATTATAAAAACAATATCTTACCAATAACTATAGCCACATGCAAGTCTTTTTATTTCGATTATAACATCATCTATTTATCTATCAAAGTAACATTTAAACCCTAGGGTGTAAGAAAATCAGACTCAAAGTACTACTTTACTAGTGGTGGGGCATCTTGCACAAGTAGGTACTATTACCCTGCCTATTTTTGCCGCGAAACAGTAAGGGCGAATTTACATTATGAAATTAGGGGCATGAAATTAATTCTGTAACATTAGTTTTACCAACAGTTTCACGTGTAATTTAATATTTTCGTAATGCATGCATTAATTTTATGAATGCAAATAAGTTTCGTGCCCTGCACGATTTTTTGGTGAAATTAGTGTCATGCAACTAATTTCATAGTGTAGACGCGACGAGAACTAGTGTCGCGAAAGCGCCTGCGCTTTCGTATTAGCGACAAGTGTCTCTGGGACCCGAAACAACCTACAGTAAAAAAAAAATAATGATAATAATAAATAAATAATAAATATTTACTAACAATCGCACCACGTTAACTAGTCCCGTGATAAGTTCGTAAAGAACTTGTGTTACAGGTACCAGATAACGGAAATAAATGTAAGATTTTTATTATACACATACATATATTTAAGATACATCCATAACCCTGGAAAAGACATTTATATTTATCATACAAATACCTTCCCTTGGCGGGATTCGAACCCGCGACCCCCTTGTGTAGTGACCATGTCACTTACCANACTAGTCCCGTGATAAGTTCGTAAAGAACTTGTGTTACAGGTACCAGATAACGGAAATAAATGTAAGATTTTTATTATACACATACATATATTTAAGATACATCCATAACCCTGGAAAAGACATTTATATTTATCATACAAATACCTTCCCTTGGCGGGATTCGAACCCGCGACCCCCTTGTGTAGTGACCATGTCACTTACCACTAGACCACACGGCCGTTAAAATTAATTAAAATTATCTTCACTCATTCGAAAATAGTTTCTATAGCTCTCAGGATCTTCATCTGCTAATTCAGAAACTAGCTTCATTGCATCTAAATGCCTTCTTGTTAACCATCCTCGTTCTCCCTCATCCTCCAATCTACCAACGTCTTTTTTTTTCCTGATGGTCTTTTTTTAAGTTTATATATAAGCATTTCTTTAGCTACATTAAATATAGCAGAATATAGCTTTGATGCTGATGGCGCCATGGTTACTGCGATACTGTAGATTTCGCGACACTAATTTTTTTACGAAATTACTTTCGCATATTATATCGATACTACTTTCGTGAAACTCAAACAAACTCAAACAGCTCAACATGCATGACACTAATTTCATAATGTAAATTCCGCATAATGCATTTTGAAGGGTGCGGGCTCACACAAAATTCTACCTCCAGTAAAGAACTATTTTACAATAACTTTGAAAATTCTGAACTAAAATTATTACAAACACAGTAAAATTTCATACAAAACTCATTTATGAGCTCGCCTTTAACTATCACATCGTGCATGCAACATTAAAAAGTAGTTGGAATTAAAATTCAATTTAAACGCTTTAATCTTGCGTTTTTTTTATTGTCATTATGTTATATAAAACTTTGCTAATACTGTACAGTTTTTGCGGACGTACAGATACAACCGTAGGATTGAATTATTAAAACTTTGAGCGCAAACCGTCGATAGATCGATTCTCTATTAATGTCGGAATACCGACTATTTGCGTAGTTTGATTATACGTATTAGGTATCGACCTGTACGAACGGATAACGTTTTTAATATTTTAATAATATATATAAATAACCATTTCAATTTATTTTACTGTGAATTTACTATTGAGTTTTTTTACGTGAAAGTTACCAGTACCATACTGAAGTACTTGTTTTTCCAAAAATCCTTTAGCAAAATTCAGAAAAATGAGTCGTCTATTATCAAAGGTGGCAATCTGTGCATTTGGACAAAAAAATATTATTGATATGTCAATACAGATTGATTTGAATATAATCGTCTCTTTTAAAGAATACGGTTCAAAACCTGCATTAAATAAAGGTTAATACTTAACCTGTTATTTATCTAAGATGTCGTTCAGAAGAGTTTTGTGACTGCCAATGGAATACAAAGTCAATAATTCGTTTTTCTGATTTACCAATAATTGTCCAAAAGTCACATTGCCGGCTTTGATAATAGTCGACTCAAATATGTGAAAAAAAACTCAACACTAAAAGGGTTAAAAAGTAGTTAATCGGTCATTTGCCTTTCTATTCAAGAAAGGTTCACCCTGTTTTTATCGGTGACGATCAATGAATTACCAAACTAGTCTGTCGTGAATCTAAAATCTACAGCTAAATATGGAAGACAATATTACAAGCTCTTATAAAATTCGATAAAATATATCACATATTTAGGCACTACGTGTAAAAGGTTGGAACATGATATTATGTTTAAGAGAAAAATAATTTCTTAAGCCATAGGTAAAAAAGTTCAAAAATAGTTTTAGAAATCACTAAAAATGCTCCTATCTATCTATACTAATATAGTATAAATCTACAGTGGTTTTTACGGATGTTCCGTTATAACTACTGAACCATGCATCAGATTGATTTGAAACTTGGTATCCATATAGAAAATCCATATACTTAATGGATAGGCTATTTATATGAGTGTTGGACTCTCTACACCAGTTGTGGGGGCGTTAATTATGAGAATCTTTGTGGAGGTGAGAAATAATAATGTTAATTTTAAATGCCGAGTGAAGCAGACGGGTACAGCTAGTTATAAATAAACTTTTTTAATTAGGCCTATTTCATTGTTTAGTGCTCCAAAAAAGTGATTCATTATTGTAGTTTGTTGTTGTATGCAAAGATTTTGGTAAATATAAAGCCTATTAAATTGAAAACCTGTGAGCTTTATCTTACTGAACCATTCGGGCCATAAGGGACACCCATAAGCTGCATCAGGGCTCCAACGTAAACGCTTCCCACAAGCCACAGATTGCCGCTATAAAACAAAATGTGTATGGAAGCGAGCCGCGTGGCCCTTTAGCCTGAATCGAACGGCGTGGCTTTCAAATTCACTAGAAACTTGTAGTTTTCAAGGTTATAAAATATCTTAAAAACTAGACGTGAAGAGTCACTAATTTTTATCTCCCAAGCAAATAATTTTATAAATTTTAGAATAAAAATCACAACTTAATAAAAATTACAGATTCCCTGATTTTGTCTTGGCCCAAATGGTTATAGTACACTAGGAGCACTAGTGGGTTGTAAAGCGTTCAACGTGTTTATAATGGGAGGGGGAGCTAATAGTAACTAGTTCAATTGGCATCATTACATTATAATTGGAGGGTAGATTGTCAATATCAAATACTATTAAAAACTGAGCCTTGGAACTCTTGTCTCAAGGTGGGTGGGCAGCAATTATGTTGTAAACGTAGTATGGACTCTTGTAAATTTTTAATACCAACTGATCTGTGAGCTCGTCTCAACTAAGCTATAAAAATATTAAGAAATACCCTAAATAGTTGACTAACAAGTGATGTCTGGGATCTTGTAATACCCAATTAAGGCACATAAGTTTCAGCTTTAAAAACCTTCTAAATTGAGTAGCTAAGGTAAGATATATCATATAAAAATAATATTTAAGAGCACTTTGTGCCGGTGTTACTGCTGGCAATATTTTCAGCAATACACAATAGAAGATAACTTTGTGTTCTCTACACTTATATGTCCGAATGTTGTTTTGAACTCTGCATTACAAAGCTATTCAATTTCTTGATTTCCTTTTGAATTTCCCACAAACATGATTCACCATTTGATAATGCCTATTAAATGTTTTTTTGCATCTGTCGCATTGGAATCTTCGTATCTTCAAATGCCTCTCGCGTATGTGCGACTTCAAGCTCTTCTTTAACATTTCTTTCTTGCAATAATCACAGACAGCCTTAGAATACTGAGATGTTTCTGTAACGGCAAAAATAGAATTCATGTATCCCCCATTCAAGTTCTTTTCGTTACTCTCATAACTTTTCGTGCCGTCCCTAAGTTCACACTTCTTTATGCTCAATACGTTGTTTTGTATTTTTTTCATTTCCACATACGTGTCTGTGTCCATCACTCTCTCTATCCACGGTCTGTCGCATTTAACATTATTCATGTCAAACTTTACATCACTTTGTAAGTTGTAATGATTTTTTCGGACATGATACAAAAGCAGGCGTTTTTCGTTGTAAGCGATCCCGCAGGCATTGCATTCGAATTTCAAAATCGATTTTATATCTAGATCGTCGTGCACACGTAGATGTAATATTAAATTTCTTTTATCGACAAAAACTCGTTCGCAGTGGTCGCAGGTGAACGATTTCCGCAACTCGCCGCCGTGAACCTTCATGTGACGCGTGTAAACATCTTTCCTGTAATATTCTTTCGCACAAATAGTGCATCTGAAGCGGGCCTGTATCAAACCGTGTCGGTACAAGTGCGACTCGATATGATATTTCGAACCGGTTAATAGTTTGTCGCAAACTTTACAATATTTTTTACGTTTTTCGGATGATTTCTTGTTCATAATTTGTGTTTTGTGCTAATTATAATAATTTAGTGGAAAATAAGTAGTAACTAAAACAATTTAACATAAACAAAATAACATTAATCACAGAACAAAAAGCATTTGATTGTAAAAATGATGACAATTCGAAAGGAGACAGTTTTGACAATAGTGATAGTTTTATTTTTCTAGCTAAAAAGGCAAAGATGTCATACCATACAAACTATTCTTTTTTATATACATTTTTTTTTATATGGAAAAGCATAATATGAAATGAATTGAAATAAAGTTGATTCATATGAAACATGGATTGAAATGAAATGAGATGAGACGAGATGTTATGGGATGAAATATAATCTTATTAAAATTGTGGTTATTTACTGAGACTTTTCAGTGGACTTTGTGAAGGATCCTGAGAAGTTACTTTTTTTTATGGTTGAAGGATTACTGGTGGCCCTGAGACCTTTCCAGTTTCACCAGGACAAGTGGGCGAGCAAAGGCTCAGCCAGGAGGAGAAGAAGGAGGAGGAGAAGTTACGTCCAGCGACTTAATTATTTGCCCACATTTGTGCACTAAAAATGTTGACAATTTGAAAGGAGACAGTTTTGACAATTGATTGATCACGGCTAAATAACTTTTTAAAACAGAACTTAAAGAAATCATTTAAATTTGCATTTGTTCTGCTTATTAAATCAAATGTTAATTTATTATTTTGAAAATGTAAAAAATATATTAAAAAGAAATGGCCAATTTTCATTATTTGTTTAATTCCTTAAATGATGTAGATCAATTAAAAACTTTTGTCAAAAGTATTTATATTGTAACAAAAATACTGATTTATTATTTAATTACTTGATATCGACCTCTTCTGACATTCGTTTCTGTAAACGCTGTTTACTATGGCTGTGTCACACGGAGCCAAATCATGGCGGTGACCCATCATGAGCGTCCTTTGCCATAGATGATCCTAAAATTGCAATAAAATGACCATAAAAATAAGAACAGATTAACATTAGTCTAAAATGTAATTTTTGCTTTATATGTGGGGTAGAAAAACTGGATAAATCATTTTCGATCTTTCAACAAATCAAAATGTTATGTAATTAAAAGCGTGCTGGAAACGATGAGACGACAATAAATATCTTTTCAATTACCAAGCAAATCACAGATATGGCTTGAGTGAAAAAAATGTTTAGTAATTAAAGAAATGTAATTTTTGAAAACATTTTTTTTAAGACCTATATAGTTAGTTGCTTACTTGTACAGGAAGTATAGTCTTGGCCGATAATGAACAATCTTCGGACATGAAATTGGCGGGAGCGTGCGTTGCGCTGTCAAACGAATACGCTGTATAGACGCCATCTTGATCAGTCAACGTTGCCGATGGCGGACTTTTCTCGAAATAATGTTCTTTACCTTAACATTGAATTAAAACCCATCATTTTATTATTTCAGTTATAGTTCAGTTTTGTATTTTGGAAATTAGGTTATTTTATTATTTACTTCGACTTCTAATTAGAAAATGCGAGTGACAATATTAATATACACCCCTATTTTTTAATTAGTACAAAAAATTTAACTGGGCTCTAAGTATCTTTAACTAATCATATTTGTGTAGTTAAAAAATAAAAAACACTAAGTCTCAAAACTGTCCACAAAAATACGTAATAACTGGTAAATGCTAAATAATTATAAAAAAAATCAATCAATGACCGATAGTAGGTACGTGCGGCGGGGTTTGGGTACCTACGGGGCGCTGCTCCATTGATAAATTCTGGGAAACTCAAGTCGAAGCCCACCAACTACCCCTTGTCCCTCTGCGCCCGCGCCGCGCCCCGACGCAACAACGACAAAAAACAGTGCTAAATTGTTATCGGAAGTGTGCGCATGCTTTTTTTCGTTGCAACAGTTGTTTGTTTAAGTTTTCCCTGACGCGATGGCTTATCAGTTCACATCACGGGAGTATGTAGCTATGCTTCGTGCGTACTTTTTGAGTGGAGAAAACGCGAGTGCAGCTGTACGTATGTACAGGGAAGACACCCAAACGCTCGACAGCCAAATGTGCGAACCGTGGTAAATGCTTACCAGCGTTTACTAGATCGCGGTTCATTCCACGCACGGTCACCTACGTACGTCAAGAACGAGGAAGACCGGCGTTGTCACAAAATCTGTACGACGATGTACTAGCGTATTTTGAAGAGGATCCCCGGCGGAGTACAAATGACGCTGATCGACGGTTTAACATCAGCCAGTCCTGTGCCTGGAAGATTATTAATAAGGCTGGATTACATCCATATCACTACAGGAAATCTCAAGAATTAACGCCCATGGACTTCTTTTTGTGGAGTGAAATTAAGAGACGTGTGCACAGAAGCGAGCGAATTAGGCTCGAACGATTAAAACAGCGCATATTGGACGCTATTCACGAAGTGAAAAGACAGAGAAGCGTACTTCTCTCGTTAAAAACAATTTAATGAAACGAGCCCGTCTGTGTATTAACAATAGTGGCGGACATTTCGAAGGACAATTGAAATACTTGTAAGTTTAGTAAATAATACCTATGTAAATAATTATTGTAAATAGCACCTGATTCTAACTTCACAAATATGCCAAAATTTCTCTTTTCTTTTAGTACAGAATACCTTATTTTATTGTAATATTTGTTTATTGTTTTCTAATCACATACGTATTTAATTAATTGTAAAAAGGTAATTTTGCCGGTCCTAAGCCCGGATGAATATGAAGGAGAGGTTAGAATTTAGAAAATTAAATAAAGTAGGTAACTACATCACATGTTCTTTTGTTTCATTTTATTGTCTAAGGCCATCTACGTCACAAGTGCGACAGTACGAATGCGAATGAGTAGGATGGAATACCATCAATGAAGTTCAATGAACTAATGAATGGATTGTAAAGTAATATGTCCATGATTTCAGTGAGATTTTTTACAATAAACAAATGATAATAACTTTGCTATTTAAAGGTATTATGAGATTTTTCCGTCACATATATGATAATAATGTCTTCCCTAATATGTCCTTAAAATTTTTGTACTAGTTATAAAATAATGGTGTATTTCGCTTCATACGCGACATTTTTCTTTGTAATTAGGTCCATTTTATTTAGTAATTAGTAGTAAGTACGTAGTAAGGAAGTAAGTAGTATTATTTATAATACACGTACATATATTTAATATACATACATAACCCTGGAAAAGACATTTATATTTATCATACAAATATCTTCCCTTGGCAGGATTCGAACCCGCGACCCCCTTGTGTAGTGACTATGTCACACCAGACGGCCGTTAAATAGTCGAAGAAGTTTTTTTGTTACCATATTTTTTCCACAATTTTCTACTTAAAATGGCTCTCATGTAAAGTTACAAAAACTTCGCTTAAATCAAATAGCCTTTACCATTCATTACCATGGTTCAATTTTTTCTAGTTCGAATTGTATATCAAATAATACATACTTAATATATATAAATAATATACACCTATATTGCGATTTACTCACGTACAAGCTTCAATGACTTTTATCTACTTAACTGACTTAAACTTATAATTTAAGATTCCTTTGCAAAGTATTAACACAGAAACGCGCGTTGTACCTACGTCAAAAAGCACGAAATATGATGCTGATTTAATTTACCGTGAATTCTATTTTTACCTTTCTGTATATGGTTCCATAGTACGGTAACGAAATTGTCTCTGTCGTGCCTATTGGACATCATTGAGATGCCCAGAGCTCTTAACAACGCGTTCAGAGTGTGAGCTGTATGGCCAGGTGCACCCTTTGCAACCGATTCCAATGAAATGGTCTGTGGAAGTGTCATTTTTAATACCATTTTTTTTTGAGTCAGAATTTTGCAAAAACATGCAAACGAGCCTACAACTTACCTAATGTAGTGGGTATTCACGGTCGCTCATGGATATTAGCAAAGCCAAGCCGCTGCCTACAGCGGAGGATTCTTCTCAAGGCTTGTTCGAATAAAAACTTCTCAGCGCGTTGGAAGCACTATTGAGAGGAGTTCATTCTAGATTGTATATTACGCGGCAATGAATATAATCAGAGACGCGCTGTGCCTGAACGCAGTGGTTCTAGGTATCATGAACTCTGTTTGGGGGCGGAAAGTAACTATGGTATAAAAACAACCAACGTATCATCTCGAACGGTTCCTCAGAGCACTCCTCATAAAACATCAAAACGACTTGTCACTTCGCGAATCTATTAAGCTAGTCAAAGAAATCAAATACACGAATCAAACCTGATTCCCCTCCATAAAACCTAAAGCGGGCATATCATTACCCTCACTGGAGAACCACAGTAAGTTCTTCGGTAGTAATTCATCTCTATCGTCGATCTCACGAAATATAACGCACGTCGCTATTTGAATGTTGACCATGGCGACTTTTATAGCTAAATAGTAGCGAGTGTTGCCTGAAAACGTTTAAAGAAACATTTGGTTAATATTCCGTTGCCCATTCTACAGTGCAGTAGTATAGTTCTATTTTTAAAATTGGAAAGGCACCTTTGCCTTCAGGCAAAGGTTTTTGGTTTTCAGGCATACCATACAACCTTTTATATATATTTTATGTATGTAAAATGATAATATGAAGTGAAATAATTAATTTGGAACATTAATCAATTGGCATGAAATTAAATGAGATGAGGTGATATGGGGTGAAATATAATCTTTTTGGAGGATCCCGAGAAGCTCGGTCCAGCGGCTTTGTTTCATTTTGACACATTTGTGCACTTTCACAGATATTAAACGGTTAATAAACCACCGTTATTACACATTTAAACCTGAAGACACTAAATAGAAAATTTTTAACAATTCACACAACTTCGGTCCTCACGTTCCCGCCAAAAAGTCCCCTATTCCAGAACTAAGAAACTCATTGAATAAACAATAGAATGTTTTTTTTTAATTTGTAACCGAAATCGGCAAACGATTTCACGCCCACTCGAACTACATACTTCAATACTTCAAGAATATCTGGAAATACATGACTGCAGTTTGTTAACATGGTCTAGGCATGACAAAGTCCGTTTATCTAATTTAAAAAAAAAGTAATCAAGTTTCAAAGCCCAACAGTGCTAGTTTTCAGTTTAAAACGAGAGGTAATTGTTTTGTTGAGAGGTAGTTTTATGTATGAAATAAAAATTAATATTCTAACATTTAATCAGTATTCGGATTACAAAGTGATCTCAGTATCGGTTCGCATTCGACAAAGAATAGAGGATATGCAAGAGAAGGGTCTGAATCTGAGTAAGCTCATCATTAACAAAAAATACCCACGCAATTTCTCTTCGACCCCGTACATAACAATTCCGAGAGGCCAAACTTTGTTCGAATAATACATTTCGCTGTCTTTATTCATTACTATGTTCGTGAAAAAACGCCGCGTTTCGACCGCCGGAAGCTGCGTTAATGCACTGCACTCGTTGTGGTAATGAGCGTTTATGTAATTCCGATCTTTTGATGATAGCAACTTCGTAGTGGTCGAATTGGTGTCCTATAAAAAAAAACCATTGAAATATTGAAGTATGTGAAAATAGTTTATTGATGTGAAACATCTATAGCCGCACGTAAAACTGATTTCTGACGTGGCGACGCGTCGCCACGCTATATGATGGTATATATAGTCTATATGCAGTAGTGTGTACGCGTCGCCATGCGCAATCGACTGTGCGATTCTCTCCCACTCGATCCGGTCGTAAATTAATGTATTTAATGAAAATAAATATTTATTCAATAAATAGTCATCGTTATCTGGAAAAAAAATCGTAATATTTTATTTTATCATTATGACATATTTAGTTCCTATCACAATCTGTTCTTTTCTGCATATTACTTTTACAAAATAATGTCGATGTTTCACATCTGCCAGGCGTCCCGTGACGGCTCACATTTTTTTGTTTTTTTTTATTAAACGTACAGTATTTAAGAAGGGTAGAAGTAAGGAGCACTATCTTGTTTAGGAGACAAGTTGAAAAAGTGTCCACCTGTAAACAGCAAGTTATTGCTCGAAGACTCACCGAAATAGCGCTAGTCTAGGAAGTGGATATGTTAAAATTATAGCAGTTTTAAACAGAGTGAAGTGTGGTACTTTTTGGAGCTGTTTTTTTAAATCTTACCACTTACTACTGTGGCGCTACCTTATTTGTCTCCCTTTTAGCTGACATTTTTTAATACACCGAAATGGTGCTCTCCTTACTTCTACCCTCCATATGCATTATGGAGCTAGCGGAGTGTATAGATAACACAATACATCTACCATTCTCCAAAGTGACACGTGACTACAAAGTTCAAATCTTGTCTATAAAGCTTCGATCAACAATAGTAACTAGATAAAGGGATACGTACAAAATTAAAGCAAAAACTGTCTGCGTGAATATATACTTATATAGCTACATTCGTTTACTAACAAACGGAGAAAAAAGTTTTGAAACACTTTTACGTTCAAACTAATAACAACTATGGCACCTAGTAATAAAGTCACAAATCTCCAAAACATTATCTAATACTTACGATCATTCGTCACATAAAACGAGCAAAGCAATAAATTACTCCTGTCACTTACCAATAAAAAGACATATTTTAAACAACTTTTAATGTTAAATCAATCTTAAGGTGCAACAAATAAAGTAACTTTTCCCTTAATTGCTCTGAGAACTAACATCGTTTTGCTTTATTTATTTTTGCTTCTTGAAATGCCGATTTCTATTTACTACAGGAGGTAAGGGAGTCGCGCTTAACACTAAAATAATTTATTAATGAATTAAAGTAAAAGTTTAGTTGTTTACTTTTTATGTTTTGGAAATGTATGTTTGTTAGTATCTATACATTACTTATTATTTTATTAGCGTTACGTTTTTGTGTAATATATATTTTTAAGTTTTCGCGACCAGTGCACATAATAAAACAACGTTTAAACGGTTTCAAGCGTGGTATTTTTATTACAATGTTTCGGCCACATTTCAGTAGCCGTGAGCACGGAAGGCAAAGATGTCCAGTGTCAATAAGCGGAGTTCTTAGCTGGCTTATAAAAGTCATCTCTTGTTTCTCTGGCGACAATCGAGATCCATTCTGCACACGTGATTGCTAGGAAAGCTAAAATAAAAATGGAAAGCTAAGTATCTAATGAGAGTCCAACAAACAGACACAAAAGCAGCATTAACCAATTTTAACCAACTAATTTTGAAGTGCTGCTAACAAATTTTAAAAAATTATTACAACACAAATCTACTCCATGCATTTACTGTTCTGTTAAGCAAAAGTTTGTCCATGTGTTGGCCGAGCCTTGGCCAACATTTGTAGCGGTGGTTAAAAATCGGTAATTTTGTTCAAAATTTAATATTATTTATAAGTTTAAAGCTTACAATATAGTTTATACTTCATGTACTTACCGAATGTAAGATATTCCGGCCGTTAAATTGCTTTTTCGGGCCTTATTTTTGCAACTTTTGAATACACACTGCGGTTTTGTGAGACGGGTTGACATTGGCTGTTTGAAGTGAACTAAATAAAATAAGAGCTCACATTTCAAGTGCGCTGTTATTTGACGAGACGGATTTTATGCACCGACCCGAAATCTAGTTACTATTGTTGATCGAAGCTATAAAGCGTTCGTCGAAAAGCGAGGTATTATGGTAGCGCCACCCACAGCGCGACTCACAGCTGGATACTAAAGGCTTCGTCAAACAGAACGCGTAATTAGCGCGCGTCAGAGCGCTACGCTATGACGCCGAGATGTGTTGTACTACTACGGTATCATACCGCCAAACAGAGCGCCAGCGCTATGAGCGCTATAGCACATAACATACCGTCAAACAGAGCGCCAGTGCTATAGCGCTCATAGCGCTGGCGCTCTGTTTGACGGTATGATACCGTAGTAGTACAACACATCCCGGCGTCATAGCGCGGCGTTAGTTTAGCGTTCTGACGCGCGCTAAGTACGCTTTCTGTTTGACGAAGGCATAAGATAATGAATGAACGATGCGTGCAAATGCATGACATGTTGCTTTCTCGAAACACATTAGCACAGTAAAACTAATGAAGCCTAAAATAAATCTATGCCATGTTTTTTTAAGGGAGTATTTTTAAATTACTTTAACTAAATAACATTCTTAATAACAAACCTTCTCTTGAAATCTTTTCATCAAGTCGAAACTGTTAATTGGCAACACTGAAACATTAAATAAATACATCAAAACATGAACATTATTGAATAGGGATTGGTGCGAGGTTATAGTAAACAGTGAACGTCGCCCTAGACACCTCATTTCGGTTCCAACCGATCCACTAACGGTGCTTTTAGGTACCCCAAGCACCGTTCACCGTCCTCACCGAACCCGTCGCTTGCGAGGAAGGGCTCGACGAGTAAATTAACCCATAGACACAGCCCACTGAGTTTCTCGCCCGATCTTCTCAGTGGGTCGCGTTTCCGATCCGGTGGTAGATTCTGCGAAACACTGCTCTTGCTAGGGCCAGTGTTAGCAACACTACCGGTTTGAGCCCCGCGAGCTCGCTTACTCATTCGGTCACGCTGATATAGCTTCTCAAGCTTAGACTTAAAAAAGAAGCATTTTAACCCTCGGTCTACCGAGAAATATCACTCGCTCGATGGGAGATCTTCCCTTTCGTAGTAATTTCCACACCCAACCCTTCAAATCGAACATATGCGACAGAAGTACGACACGATTGCATCTTACTGGTAGAATCCTCTGAGAACGCTGCAGTCAGATTCTTTGTGAACATCTTTGTTAGGAAGAAAGGATTACTAGTGACCTGATGCCAGTCGCGACCCGCTGAGGAAATCCGGCGAGATCCTGAACGGGTCGATGTAAGGGTTAAGTTGTATGCAGTACTGTTAGCAGGTTCATGCCTTCCCTTAGTGCTACAGCTGCAGGCATTTATTAATAACGTATAGTGAATCAGATGAATCCGTATGTTCGTGTAACCGTCGCTTAATTACGTCATTTACTGGATTCTATCGAAATTACAATATTCAATTATTGTAGCATATAAACAACAGTTCCTATTCTAAAATATGTATTTCAGCCAATTTTTTAAAAAATCATAATTGCAACTTACTCGTTCCCTCAATGCTAGCTTTGAGCATGTCAATCACAATTCTAGAAATTTCCCTTCGATTAAGACATTTGTAACCGATCTGCATGTTCTGAAAATAGCATTTGAATTGAGTTTTTTTTTTTTTGTAAACCGTTAAGATCTTTTAAGAATAATTCTTTTTTTTTACTTTTTAGTGACGGGTGTGAAATAACGTTTCCTAATTTCTTTTTCAAAGTTGCATTTCTTTTAAATGTAGACGAAGGGCTAACCTTCATTATCATAAACGTAAACAAAGGGCAAACATTCATTATCATTGACAAAATACAAATTACTGTCCTGGATGTTAAGAAAAGAAAAACCGCTTTTACAAAACACAACAATTTCAATCAACTTTATCTCATTCCGATCCGTTTTTTGTCACCTAGTGAGTATTAAATTGAAAATTAAAAAGAAACTGGCAACAATGGCATCGCAAAAAGTCTTCGTACTGGACCAGAGGTTAAACTGTATTAAATGATTTGCAAATGACATTCCATTCATGCCTTCATTTACTTAATGTTTTGGTACAATTATGTTGATACCTCCACGGTTTGACGTTGGCAAAGTTGTTATTAAATATAAGTAACAAAAGCCAGAAATAAAAAGAGGATTATAATGAAAGTTCATTTTACCACGACACTCTTCGTGTAATCATATCTCTCATTTTGACATGTCTTCCGTCTGTCCTGGTTGTTGATGTACAGTATTTTACCGTCAGATATATTGTAATTCGATGGAGTATTAAAGAATTTAACACAGATCTCTTTTTGGATATCCGTTAATGTTGATATTATAATATCTTGTGAATGTAAATCTGAAATAAAGTTTAAAATTCGTTTTTTTAGCGATCATTTTTTTGATGGCAATACTAACGACTAATGGGTGTACAACAAGCGAGACGTTAAGTTGATTAAAGCTATACTCTCCGCCATGGCGCCAGTGCAAATGCGAGTCTTGTGATGTTCGAAAAAAAAACGAATTTAATTGGATGATTGTTTGTGGAATTACACACAATATACAAAACTGCGACACGAATTACTGCAATGCGATTTCGTGCGGTAAGGCATTTCTCTTCCACAATACGGGTGACCATTCCTTCGACGATCAACAACCGTACTGAACGTAATGTTACGCCGGTAGAGTAACGCCATCTGTCATCAAATAACAGAAACGAATATCCAAAGAACTAGCAAAACCGAGAACGCTCGAGAAGTGTAACGCCATCTATTATCAAATAGCGGAAACACATATTGGAAGTTGGAACGACTCGTCGTATCGGGAATTCTCTCGATAATTGTAGAGTTGTCGTATCGACACGAAGGCAGTTAGTAAGCGGTTCTACTCGAAGCGGAAGAAGTGAATTGCGAATTTTAAAGTGTTCCATGTGCTCTAAGTGTTGAATAGTTTTAATTTGTACTTCGGTGAAAGCTTTATTTATCCCGAGTCCCAGTATTTTGTAAACTAGGTCGTGACATGGGTAATAAAAAGAAGTGCGCACCTCTGTTATTGCCGAGGAGATACGGGAAAAAGAAACAAAGACTGCGAATTCAATTCGCTAGTTCTTGCAATGCGTTGTGGGAGCTCGTGGGTATTTACAATGAGACGTCGCTTCGCAGTTTTGTGTATAAAGGCCATAATCAGCAGTATAGGAAGAAGGACCGATATATTTATTACCTCTCTTCTACTTACCATAGTCTTTATTATTGATCGCATAATGAACTACCCCGTTTGGCCATAACTCCCCTCTCCCCAAGCCCAAATAATCAAACCAAACTAACAATGCAAACAGCATTTCTCAATTTTCGTAAATTCAATGCAATAAAAAAAGTATCGATAAAACTTTACGATTAGTTTTTATTCAATAAGTGAAATTACCATCAAATTGAAAATCGAATGCTTGCATTCCAACGGTATCAAACGTGGCCAAGATTTAATTATGTCTGGTGCACTGCTAGCTTTATTTGAATGGAAGGAAAACTGTGTGCTTAGTGAGGGTTTTTTAACGTTCTCGATAGCGTAAAAGTTAACTCTTTGTATGGAGTTCGATGTTTGCGTCCGTTTGCCGCTAGGGGCGCTGTTCCAACTGCATACAAATTCGAGTTAACTTTTACGCTATCGAGAACGTTAAAGACTAAGCACACTGGTGGCCCGAAGGCCTCTCCGGCGTCGCCAGGGCAGGTGAAGGAGCGCGGGCTCAGCGGGGAGGGGTGAGATTTACTAACAGCAGCCCGAGTGCCTCGGCAGGAGACCAAACACCTCAACGACGCGACGGCTGCTTCGCGAATGCATCTACTATTGAATTAGAAACGCGACCCGCCGAGAGGATCCGGCGCGAAACTCAGTGGGCATATGCTATTTTTGATAAGTACGGCTACCTACCTGTGCTATTCCTGCCTAAGTAGATCAGATAGGTCCATATGAACGTATCTGGAGCGTATTAAGTCTTAAATCGTAACCTTCAATCTTGTATAGTGGTTAAGGTGGTCTAGATCAATCGAGGTACTACTTGACTTGAATTACGGTTTCACTTCGCGTTTTATATAAAATAGCAATTCACTATTGTTGACGTTTCAAATACTTGACAGTTTTCACGGTGACGGGCGTTTGAAATGAATTCATCGATGCATTCTCGATACCTCCAATGAACACTACTCTAACTCAAAATTTGTGAGGTTTGAAATACTTGACTGTTTTCACGGTGACGGGCGTTTGAAATGAATTCATCGATGCATTCACGATGCCTCCAATGAACACTACTCTAACTCAAAATTTTCGTTTTTCACGCAAATCGCTTCACTATTTTAAAAGTATTACGAAATCATTATTGATGGGGTTCGAAGCAAGAGTAAATCAGCTAGTCACACAAGAAAAAACCATAAATATATCTGCAATAATAAAGATTTTATCAACTTTTTTCGTTTAAACGCTCCTCCTGTAAACCTACGAATTTGGAGTTAAGAGTAGTGTTCATTGGAGGCAGCGTTCTGTAGACTACCGTCAAATTTCCAATTAAAAAAGAAAAAAAAACAGCTCTTTACCTCAATTTCAATAAAAACGCAAAATTAACCCGCGCTTTGGTGGTTTTTAAGAGAGTTTTCAATTTTTTAATTATTTCTAGGACTTGAGAAATCAGAAGAAAGTATGGAGACTCATTTCTTAAAGTATAATGGGACTACAAGAGTAGTCAATTAAACTTCCTCAGAAACATACAAATGGCTTCAATTGTTAATCTTAGCAAATTAATCAACACAAACCATTTAAGATTCGCTGCGAATGCTTCTTTGTACGTTCAAAGCACTATGATTTAATTGACATTATCAAACTCAATTCGTTCACAATGTACTTAAATCATTTCAATCAAACAATCAATGAGCCCTTTATTCTGGACTATTAGGACTGTTAATTTAAGTTTTTAAAATTTACAGAATATCTCTCATTTCATTTATTGCCTATCGGCATAGGAAGGCATAGGCCTCCTCAAACGTCTTACTTACATTGTTGTCTATCTTTAGAAGCCCTAATCCAGTTTCAGGACCCATTTTCAACTTTATCTCACCCTTAAATTTCCCAATTGAATCACTTATAATCCGACAAGAGCAATAACTAAATCAAAACAGTTCAAATATCACAGTCAATATCACAGACAACAAATTATTCTTTAACATTCACAGTAAACCACTTTCTCAGAGTACGATTTATCACTTTTTAAATAGATATTACTTATTCATGACGATTCTGTTTAACAAAATTAGTGAAAATCTCAAAGTGCTTGAAATATACAGCGTGTGATTTTTTTTTATGAATTTTCGAAAATGAGAATACATAAATCAGAATGTTTAGCACTTAACTTCTTTTGAATACTAATCACATGTCAAACAAAACCTAGTATTTTAACAAATACAGGGTGTACTGTACTTCCTTGTACCGGTATTATTGGCTTTTTCTAACTTAATTCAGACAATAAGAATTATTATCGAAAAATTTCACTCGAGATTAGGCACTCACTCGATATAAGCTTGATAATCTGACATATACTTAAATCTACAAAAAACAAAATATTTTAGAACTACACCCTGTATGTATATATATACAACTTAGAAACTAAAACAGTCTTCTTTCTTCAGGTACAAAATGAAACAACCTGTAAAAATTGTGTTACATAAGTTTTAGTCAAATACGCTTAATATTAAAATACATATTATTAGTTAAGTTTCTTCAAATTAAAAATTAAAATTTTAATGAATCGGCATTAAATTAGACTAAGTTCAGCATTCGGAAATTACATATTAGGTCATGGTCAGTTTGACGTGTGGCCTTGATGTCAAAACTTACTCCAGTGCCGTTTAGCATTAAATCAAACTGCTGTTTTATTTCTTGAGGTGTAAGGTCTAAATTGCATCATAACAGCTGACCTAATTCATAATTGCGAATAATCAGATTGGTATGCAGTCTGCAACTGAGTCAATTTAAGAGGACAGAGGACAGCTTGGATCTTGGATGCTGAGTGTGGTCTGAGCGCTGGTGAATTTTAGTACTTTCTGATGCTCCAAGATTGGGAATGAGAGAATGGGAACAACTCAACAATTAGTTCATTAAATGTAATTAAATGAACATTCCCTTCTCTGCATATCCCTCAACAAATATTTCTGAGCTAGCAGTTCTAAAGGCATAAGATTTTCAATCACACTAAAGTATGAAGGTATTTTTAAAGAAAATCAAAGTTATATAAATCATGACTGCAGTTAAAAAACAAATAAATTGTCAAATTGAAGTTGTCGAAAAAATTAAGGAACCCCTTTTGTACACATTGTCCCAAGTCCCCCAAGTTATAAAACAATACGACTCTTCTGGGAAATCTCAAGATCCATACCGGTCCCTGCAACATCTTATGCATCTCTTAATAACAACACTCACTTCAGATATTTTCTGTCGCATAACTATTTAGATATAACATGACAATTTTCTTTTATTGACAAAAATATAGAAAACCTTATCTTAAACTATAGAAAAAATGTCCATTTGCATATATCTTTACAAGTTCAATAATGAAGAAAGCCTAAATTGTCTTATGGATTTGGAACAATAATTGGATGTTTTTAGGTAAACATATTATGGAAGGTGATATCCATAGTTGCCTAACACTGAGCTTCGTTGTGGTCTAGCTGCAGAAGTATTGCAGAAATTTATTCCATTTAAACTTTCTTCATCAAACTTCACTTTAAATACCATTTATCACATATAAATGAAATTAAAACGACATAAACTCTGAGACAACGACGATATTATAGGTCCGTATCCCTGAGCATTATCGTACAATTCAAACAATGGTGCCGCAACCAGCTTGTAATTCTTCGGTACAGCAAACAGAGCTCTGTCTTGCAGTTGAACCAGGAATAGGCGCTTATGCTCCTTTGGTTTCGTGATGTGAGGCGGAATGTATGGATATTGTGGTGGTTCAAAATTCGGTCGCCACCAGTTCCCTGAAAGTTTACATATATTTTAAAATATATTATATAAAAATCAAAAAGTTCTTGTTAAACGGTTGGTAGTTATGATTTTTGTATAATATATTATAATTTTTGTAATATAGTTTTTGCTAGAGGTTAACAGTTATAATTCAAGCTTTCACCAGTTTTTCAAGCACTGCTATAGCATCACTAACCTATTGTGTCTTCAATGAGCCATTCCTGTTTGACACCATCTTGTCGGCCTAAAGTCTCAGTGAGAAGCCTCTTCAGACCATCAATTTCATCCTGAAATAAAAAAAATACAGTTTCGCATTGTTTTTATTAGGAACATCTGAATGAAACACTTGAATGTTTGAACATGCAGCCCTTTTGATGGGTACTCAACATACAACTACATAATTTAGATTCTTTACAAACCATGATTATTATTACAATACTGAAAAACTAGAGAATGCAATTACAGAAAAAGGGACATAGCTCTTATTACAGTAGCATATTATTGTTTTGCTCAATATAATATAAAACTCATAAAATTATCGACAATGACAACTACATTTGACTTTGTTGACAGCCTCTTGAGTTGCTAACCCCAAAGTGGCTGCTCAAGTTGTGAAGGATCTGATATTATCGTATGATTATTCCCAGTTAAATTGCGCTTTAAAGATGCAAGCAGAGGCTATTCTGTCTACAAGAGGATCTAGGCTGACTTCTATATTTGTAGTTCTATCGTATAAAAAAAATCTAGGTATACCTCTCCAGGGTTCAATTCTCCACCGGGTAACTTGAAAAACGCAGTGCCGAGTTGCAGTAACAGCACATGTGGTAGACCATGTTCGTGTACTAATAACACACCTTCGACCGACCTGCAACGGTAATTAAGCCCCATCAAACTCACAACTCATTAACGCAATTGGACGAAGCCACAGTGGACCATAACAGAGTTAACAACACACAGTAGGTATCCCCCCTAACTACTGGGCTGTAGGTTTGTCATGTGATAAACTCAGTAGAAGAAAGTCTGGGTAAGGGCTAGATTATAATGTCGCTTGTCCACAGCTATTATTATTATTATATATCAATACTAGAAGTAAACATAAATTTAAACTGTGTTATCGAGTAATAATATCAAGTTTCCAGCGTGCAAAAAGGTTTTAGGGAAACTGTTTCATCTATACATGTTTAAGTCATGTAATATTATCTACCTGCCATAATTTACGACACTTCACACTTTAGTAGTGTTAAGTCTATATTTATAGTACAAGCCCTGATTTTTTGTCGATTCTTTTCACTAGTGGACTTAGATTGGGTAAGTTTAAGAGAGAGGTATGACCATTTAAAAGCCATCTAATATATCAACTGTATGATTTTGTATTTAATGAAGCTCTAATATGGTTATGTAAGTAAAGTGATATGTATGTATATTATTTTCATAATGAATAAAGCAAACATGTATAGTGGGCACTCTTCATGATCATAATGGGTGGTTTCATACATCGGCTTTCGTAACATAACCTCACCTTCTCATTCCGATTTTACAAAACTCCTCTCGCATCCTCTGGAACCTCGCCGGAACCGATGCATCCTTCTCGAACAGCGGCTCCTTAGTTCCGAACGTGTAATTCGTAAGCGGATACAAATTAATAGACCTATTGAGAGTTAAATTCATGCTTGGGTTTTGGCTTATTTGATGTTGTAGTCCTGGTCGCGCAGGCCACTGTTTGTTACCGGGAGGCCCTTGAACTGCTGCCATCTTATATTTGATCTTATTTTTAACAAAACCGCGTATGCAGAGATGATCACAACTAAAAATTGTTTTACCCACAGAACACTATTACTTCCACAGAACACTATTACTTCTAGCGAAGGTTTTACCAAACCAAACAAGCGTCAGTATTCGGCCATTTAATAAGAATTATAATTAGTGACGTGCACGGGTGGGTGTAGTAACTCAGAGTTGTGATTTGGCAAAAATTATTTAAGCTTTTAGTCGATTACGTTAAAAAAGTTCTTACAGACTTGTCCAAGTTCAAACCTTAACTTTGACAGTGATTAATTTTTGTTTTGAAGTAATGTGCAATTGCGTTTAGTTTTGTTTTTTTTAGTTTTATTGTGAATAATTCATAGAAATGTCTGAACATTTAGAACTCATATCAGAGAATATATCACAATGGTCTGCAGTTTCGAAAATCACACCGGAAATACAGAAAAAGGAAATAAAACCATTCGTAATTTGTATGTACACATTTTTTTTTTTAATTCCACCCATTGACTATTTTAAGGAAAAGTATTAATAAAGAAGGTTGAAAAAAGAAGAATAGATTATTATTAAATTATAGTTGAGAATGCCAGATCATTACAAGAAATTGTGAATATTATATTTTCATTTTATATGATTGCTTAAACATTAATCATTGTATACTTTTTATTGTTTGGAAGAACGACATCTGGCAACTTGAACCTGAAATAAAAAAGACTAAATTAAATAATAAGATTACACACATAAGTATAGTAATTTAAAAATATGATATATAAAAAAATATATAGTCTTAGACCAATGTCTAAGACTAATTGCTAAACTAATTATGTATCACACAATGTCTTAATATAATATGTACTCATGTTATTTAGACGGACTAGAGCGATTGTGTAGCAATTAAAAAGGATCTTGCAACTTAAGCAAATTAAATTAGCTTTCCTTAGCTTATCTTATATAATTCTAATTGCAGTGTCTCTTAAAGAATTGGAAGGAATAGAAGACGAGAGATTATCGAGTCTAATGAATGCAGAAAAGTTTGCAGCGGTCAGAGCTATCGTCAGGCACTTTGCAAGACTCCGATCGGCAACCAAAAGCTTATGGGGACAAGATGATGTAAAAACATTCTTAGATGGGCTGCGGTTAGTGCTTGTGAGTTTACTTTAGTGATAGTTTGGCTCTCATTATAAAATTTATGTGGAAACCATTTTGAATTGAATTTGAGTAATGGGTTTAGCTCAATTGTAATAATTTAATAAAAAGGAGTCTTAGTGAATCCAATCAATATAAGTATTAAAAAAAAAAGTGTGTGTGTCCGCTCCGACGCACGACTGGAGTTTACTGGATATAAAAAATTAAACGAAACAATACGAGAAATAGTTCTATATTACGACAACACGATACACTACAGATTATTAACAAATTAACGAGACACAAAACAAACGACTAACAAATATATGAAAATACAATAATGAGAGAAACGCGCGATCAGTACGAGGCTTTGTGGCGGACTGCCGGCGCAGCAGCCCGGCGTCACCTGCGATAACGCGGCCGCGCGTTGGCTCCTGATTGGCGCGCGCACACATCACGCAATCAGGAGCCAATCAGGCGCATAACGCATTTCGTGTGACATGCTAGTACGATTTTGGTCCCCATAATTTTCATACCCCGGGCCTATATATGTAAATCGATTCTAAAGGAGTAAACTCCAAATGTTATCTGATTTAATGTAACTTTTCTAATTGTTTTAAAAGGAACAAACACTTAGTCTAATTGAAGGACAATGAAGGTTTATCCACAAAACATTTGCAGGGATCTTTTTTTGCAACTGACCATCTGGCTTTTGAATGAGCTCTCTCCTTCACGGTGTTCTCCAAGTATCATGACATGTTTACCGTCCCTACCTCTTCCCCCTCTACCTTGCACTACAATTTCCATACATCTTCTAGTAGTCTATAATAATATTGAAATACTTTTAATTTTCAGTTTTTCCCCCGAGTGTACGTCTGAGCTGTCAGTGTTGCTATGCACAGAGAAATTGTACGAAAATATACCGAAACATTTACGAATGAAACCAGGTGTCGTGAGCTTACAATGGAAAATTGATGTTTCTTTAAGGTATTTTTATGGATTTTTGCTTGATTTTTCCTCAAGATGCTTTAAAGTATATCCACGATCTGTTTACTCAAATAAAACATTTAGAAATGTAATTTACTTGATAGTAACATATAGAGTTATATGTGACTAGGGGAAGGATGGAAATGGTAGTGCAAGTTCGACCGAAGAAGACATGGATGGAGTGTGTGAATGACGATATGAGAGAGAGAGAGGAGTGAGTATTCAGATGACGGCTGATAGAAGAGAATGGAATAGAAAAATTAGCAATGCCGACCCACCTAGTGGGATAAGGTGGAGACAAAGAAGAAGAGTAACATATAGAGTTATGGGACTGGTTTTAGTGTAACTTTTTTGACATGATAAACAAAAATAATGGGTCACGAGTCAAGATCTGAAGGAAAAGAAAAGTAAAAATGAACAAAACCGACTTTTGGTAAAGGTATTCCTGAAAAAAATCGTATCTGTCAGTCATTAGCATTGCCCATGACAAATGACAAATGTTTCTAAAGATACTTCACTAGAGCAGCTAGATTAAAGAAAAGTAATAATTTTTCCATTTCAGTCAATCAACAATTGAAACGGAGAATCCTTCGCCACAACGCAGGAAAGAGATAATGCACACTTTGAAACATGTCATAGTGACATTTGTCTTGACAGACGGTCACACACGGACGTATCGGCTCTCCATCAGTCAATTCCACGAGCTGAGATATGTCATAGCAAGCGCCTTAAAGAATATGATAGTTTTAGAACGCAGAAAATGCATGAAAAAAGATTGACATATGTTTTCTTCTTTTTTTAGGGAGGGATGAACGCGTGAAGGATTTTTTTTTTTTCGTTTACTAAGAGCTAGTGTGTAAAGTGTATAAGTAAATCGTTTCTACCTACTCATAAAGACTAACTAAAATATTTTATTGGGTGCCCAAGGCGAATGTAATCTTTTTTTTTTATTGCATATATGGGTGGACTAGCTCACAGCCTACTTGGTGTTAAGTGATTACCGGAGCCCATAGACATCTAGAACGTAATATAGATTAGTTATAGAATATAATCTTCAATAAAATATCTCTTTCTGTATAAAAACTGAACTTAATTTATCCATAATATTGTTGAATATTCCATAAAGATTGTTGAATAAAAACTCTAAAATTTTTCTTATAATTTGCGTAATTATGGGTTGTAGGACGTCTTGTGAGTCCGCACGGGTAGGTACCACCGCCCTGCCTATTTCTGCCGTGAAGCAGTAATACGTTTCGGTTTGAAAGATGGGGCAGCCGTTGTAACATACAATATCGATTTAGAACTCATATCTCTTTACGCATATTTGATTGACTTCGAAAAATCTCTTAACTTATCTCTTATCGTATTAAGGATAAATTGTCGAAGACGCTTTTCTTTTCTTTCTTTTTTAAAATTGTTGTATTATGATGGCGACAATAATTTTATTTGTCACGGAATAAAGTTGTTTTCATAATGATAAGAAAAAAAAAAGCGTTCGAAGTGTTCTTTTCTCCCTTTTTTTTTATTATGGCAATTGGCTTCTTGGTATGCCATTATTGCCAGTTTCGAGTTTATTTTATCTTCAACAATGATAATGTAGTTATGTTAGTAGGTATTTATTGTTAAAATAGTTCTATGAAAAATGTTTATGAGCGAAATGTTACGCAGTTGATTTATCTGAGACTGTTATCAATTGGGATAAAATTAAATGAAAGGAGATGAGATGGGATGAAATATGTGACTGGCATCTTTGTTTCATTATTCCACAAGTGTTAATTTTCACAGATACTAAACGGTTAAGGTGCCACCATTAGTAAAAGTTTAAACATGAGGAAACACTAATTTAATAAAATAAAACAATTCATACATTGTACATTAGATTACATTATATCGCACCTTTAGAATTGAATTGCCCTAATCCAAAATTCTTATTTTTTGGTAAACACCAAAAATGTAATCGAAGAATTGTAATTTTTCAGTTATTATTAAGCTATTGCATAGCTTTTATCCGACCGAATCAAGAAATTCCGTAACGAAAATAAAACCTAACCGAACCGAACCTTCAAATCGAAACGCATTACTGCTTCACGGCAGAAATAGGCAAGGTGGTGGTACCCACCCGCGTGGACTCACAAGAGGTCCTACGGCCAGTAATACCACCAGATATACCACCAATATTTCATCCCATCTCAACCCGTTTCAATTAATTTAATTCCGATTGATAAGTCTCAAATGTATTTTTTTTATTGCTCTTGGAGGCAGACGTGCATACCTGATGGTGAGTGAATACCATCGCTCATGGACTTCAACAATACCAGGGGTAGAGCCCAGCCGCTGCCAAGCTTATAAATCAATTGCATCTCATTTCATTCCAACAAATTTTCAAATAACTATTTTAACTATAACATCACATAAGGAGTTCAAGATAAAATTAACTTGAAACTGTCAATAAGGGCATATCAAGAAGCCGATTACCACATTGTACTAAAGTTGAATACCTATCAGTTAATACAAAGGTTTGAATAGAACAGAGTGCGGCGTAAGAGACTAGTTTCGCTATTCCTCTCTAACGTGAATGTTAAAAGAGATTAAAGGATCAGTAGAGATTACATATGTACCGCATGCGTTTGAAATTCGCTAACGGTTTAATTCGGAGTTTTTTTTTTTTTTGTAAATAATTTGTTCTTGTAAACTTCTCTGGTACAATCTGTTTACGGTCGGCGTCATGTTTGGCCAATGTTCTCGTGTGTCTGGTGGATAAAATCCTAATGTAGAAATTCTATTATACATAACGATTTTATTCTATTCTATAGTAGAATGGGTGAATGTGAAACTTTTATTGTATTAATTTAATAGTGTTTAAATATTTACATTGTTGGGCGTTGTAATTTTCTATAAGATTTTAATGTATGTTTTAAATGTTTAAGTTTGAAACATCTGTAACCTGTAACATTCCAAAATAAATTTAATAAAACAAATATCCTTTTTTTTCTTTGTATGTTAATAAGTCGTACCGGATGGTAAGTAGACTGTACGGCCAAGCCTATCAGCCAGAATTGTGCTTTCAATCATTCATTGAATCATCAATGTATAATTATTCAAAACTTTGTTAAGCAAATGCTCTAAAAAAACATTCTGGGAGTGGTTTTGGAATTGGTACTGTGAGTTGTGTACTGTTACATCTTAAGGCAAAGACATGCATTCACTCACTCTTACCAATAACCTGTATGTGTAACATCAGCATTGGCAAACAGGTTGTATGGGGTATTCAGCTTTTATATTTTTTATTACTGGTAACTCCGAACGCCTTTCCAGTTTCACCAGAAGAGGTGAGTGAGCTCTGGCTCAGCAAGGAAGGGTGTAGTGGGAAATATGTGGCCATTCTTACCCATAAAAGCACACAAGACCCTCACAGCAATATTGAAGATATCATTGAAATTCAAAATTATCAACTAATCAAGACAATAATACATAATTATCATGATACTTTTACTATCATGAAATCCCCATGTTACATTACCTAAAACATCTTGTGTCAGCAGAGCATGAAATACTATTAATTCAATGAAAATAAAGCATTAATTTGGAACATGCCAACACATAAATTTAATAACATTAATATTAATACCACAAATAAAACAATAATTATTATGTACAATCTACAATTTATATTTAAATACAAAAGCATTAAAATAATTTCTTCTGTGGCAAGCCAAACAGCTTTCTAACGGCGATACTATATTCTTGCACGGTCTGTGGATTTTCACCTTCATTCATATATATTGATACAGCCGCTTTATATTGGGCTCCATTTTCTATTTGGCTTATATCAAATGCTTTATATTCTTCATCATTCATGATTTTCGATTCATTCTTAATACGAAGATACCAATCAATCAAACTTCTCTTTGAAGCATTATTATCCCAGTCATAATACTCCATGTCGTCCTCGGTCTTCTCCTTCTCCCAATCTTCAAAATTCCACGACTCATGGTAGCATGCAGTCAACAAATAATTGACATAGTCCAAGTTTTGTACTTTAGTTGGACAACGATCCGCTGTGATCGTCACTAAATCCGTTTTTGGGTCGTACCTGTCACCGACCAGCCTCTTAAACTTGTCTGTTGAATGTTTATCGAGTTTGAGGTCTGCTAATTTAACTCTTAAGATCACGACGCGTGCTAACGGGTTACGGATAGATGGACTTGCGTGACAGTAATCTGAACTTATAATTTCTAAGGGATAATGCTTGTCTATACTTTCCTCAGAGTTGAGTAGATTCGGCCATTCCGTACAAAATTGTTTTAAGGCTTCGCACTGGCTCTTGATAACTGGTGGTGTTAAGTGAAGGAAATTTGGTATTTTCATTAATTCTGCGTTCGCTTTTTTACCTGGCGGTGCTTGACCCTTTGGTACGTAGCCCTGACGTATCGGTAATGGCACCGAAGACGGGTGGAAAGTCTTCGGACCAGGCCACACATTCCCCCAGTTCTGGAACAATATTTTTACTGATACATTTTTATCGTTTTCGAAGTTAAAATTATTTTCTGATTGATGAAAACAAAATTGTTATTTGTTTAGATCGTAAACATTTTTACCTGGTTTGTGGCCATCCTGTCGATCCTATCTGGCTGCACATCAGTTCTTTTGACTACTCGACGCTGCATTTTATCCCTTTTCTTCAAGATATCCAGTACACGAAATTCTTCTTCTTCTTCGCCCTTTTTCAGAGCGGAATCTGCCGAAGTAGAGTTTAGACGCCATAATTTAACGTTGCAGGCGCTATTGAAGCACCCAGACTTAGAACGTTTGATTAAAATGCTCATTTTCTATATTATTTGAAATGTTGTAAACATTTAGTTACGAAGCGCCATTTTTAGGTTATGAAGTAGGAATGAAATGAAAGAATTTAATGATATTTCGTTTGCGTCAACATGGTTAGTCGATTTAGTTTTAGTCAGTTTTTTATTTCGTTAATTTTTTTCACTAAAGAGCGACGTATCAAGTGTCGCTGGTGTCAGGGATTTTTATCTTTTGTATTTCTGGAGACAACAGGTATGTAAGGAGTGCCATGATGATCATTACCTCTACTCTTCATACATTCTTCATACTTTCTACATACTTCATACTTCATAACGGCCGTCTGGTGTAGTGGTAAGTGGCATGGTCACTACACAAGGGGGTCGCGGGTTCGAATCCCGCCAAGGGAAGATATTTGTACGATAAATATAAATGTCTTTTCCAGGGTTATGGATGTATATTAAATATATTATGTATGTGTATAATCAAAATCTTACATTTATTTCCGTTATCTGGTACCTGAAACACAAGTTCTTTACGAACTTATCACGGGACCAGTTGACGTGGCGTGATTGTTAGTAAATATTTATATTTATATTTTGAACCAAAGGTCAGATTGTTTGGTTTTTAGGTAAATACGTTATACATTTAAGCGAAATACCGATTATTGCTCCGTTTTATTTCATTTATTTATTAGACAAATACAGTTATAGTAAAAAATATTTCATTTGAGTAGTTTGGTATGTCTTTTACACGTAACAGAAAGAATTACGAAATCCATCTTCATTTGTGTTCTGTGCACATTTCACTATTAAGGTACTTTTTTTTCGAAATTCCTTTAGCAATTTCTGTAAAACACGTGCTAATAAGCTCAGCACTAAAAGGGTTAATTTCTCTATTTCGCTGACCGGACTGGCTTGGTTGTTTTTATTTATATTCCGTAATGGCCAATAAAAAACATGTTACATTGTATAAAAATATTTTATTTTAACAATACAATTATTTCATTAACATGCGTGCTCTGTTTTTACAACATTAATTTTGTTCCACGTTTATAACAATACAATATTGCAATTTATTACAATTTACCACATAAACTTTAATTAAATGTGCCTTAGCTGAGCACCGTGTTATCGCCCTGAAAAAGTCCATAGACAATACACATCAATTAGTTATAGATAAGAAACTCGAGCACTCAACAAAAATGTTTACGGGCGTCGGGCACTAGATGGCTTCGCTTCGATTAGTTTCTCATTGCTCCTGTAGATAGCAGTAACATGTTACTTATCCTATATTTTATTTTTAATGAAGGATTTTGTAAATTTTTAGAAACCACAAATTGATAAAATTTAATCAGTTTGTCTATAACAAATAAAGACTTGTATGATTCATAAATTTTTTTTCTGTGTTTAGTTGTACAATAATTAAATGCCTTAACTTTAACACTTATAAGTTAAGGGGCATCCGCTACACATATCTGTAGTTTCCTGATATTTATCTTAAAGTACCGCAGTTTCGGGGCCCTGAAAAAGTCTTTAGATACTAATGCGATAAAATAAATTATTAACGGTATTATATGGTAACACTAAAATGAGACTGGGTTGCTAATGCAAGTCGATCAAATAACTTAATACTTTGTACACTTAACGATCCCATTAGTGTACCTCGCGTACTATATGAGTCGACTATTATCAAAGCCGGCAATCTGACTTTGGACAATTATTGATAAATCAGAAAAACGAATTATTGACTTTGTATTTCATTGGCAGTCACAAAACTCTTCGGAACGACATCTTAGATAAATAACAGGTTAAGTATTAACCTTTATTTAATGCAGGTTTTGAACCGTATTCTTTGAAGGAGACGATTATATTCAAATCAATCTGTATTGACATATCATTAATTTTTTTTTGTCCAAATGCACAGATTGCCACCTTTGATAATAGACGACTCATATATACCATTAGAGCCAAACCAAAATCAGGAAATCAATTATTTTATCAACTTCGAGATTTTCATTAAAAAAAGTTTATAAAATACTCTATTAGCAGGGATAAAGTATAGTTTAGATATTTCAAAAAGCTCACGGGTGACCCCTATGGCCCGAATGGTTCAGTAAGGTAAAGCTCACCGGTGAGCACCTGAATGAAAATCTTCGATTTTCTATATGGCGTTTAACGTGTTAATAACGAATTAAAAATATCCTTCGGGAAAATCTCTTGTGTTTTTATCGCATACCGAAATAGTATTCGTGTGAGAACATAAGTCATAACAAACATTCATCCAACATTTTAGCATTAAATTAGCATAACAAACTTACTAACAAAAAATGTCAAGTTATTTTATCATTATTAAAAATAAAAAAAAACCCTAGATATTTTCTTTAGAATTGTCTTACATAATTCGTTACTCGGATAAATTCACTTTTTATTTTTATAATTTTTAATATTATTTAATTTATATATGAAATTATAATTTACATCATGCATATGTAATAATCTGTACAATAATAATAATAATAATTATATTGCTTATTTATTTCGAAACCCAATAATTATGGTACGTATATTTAGCCTATTCATACATTACAGCAAATGTTTCAGATTTTTTGTCCGAAAACTAACTAATTAAGTGTTGATCAACAAAACTGTTTCCAGAACAAAATATAATTCAATCGATTCAATCCATAATTTTACTAATTACAAATTAACATAAATTCATTCAAACAATTATATATATTGTATTCAAATGAATATTTTTAACACTATGATGTAAGGTCAATTTTAAATGCAACCATTTCTAAAATTTAATTAAACTGAAACATCAGTTTGTAGCAGTAATCCCGCAAGATGGTAATATGAGTCAATAAAGATTTGCACACACTTCAATTACCTACCTGGCAATTTTACGAATCGATGTTACAATTTTTATATTATATTATTCATGCAACATAACAACGTGAATGAATACGGAAAAGAACACTTGCAAATGTGTGCTTTCCGTGTGCTCCCATTTCAATTTAGTCGAGTTCTCATAATGGTAACCACGAGAAAAAAAAGTATAAGTCTTGAATTTGCATTATGTACAAACGTGTGCGACAAATAGATGAATAACTAAATAACTCAATATCACACCAACCGATTTCAATGATTATTACTTTTAATGTATATTGATTTGTATTGGAATATCTTTTTTTTTCTATTTGAACTTGGTTTTTGTTAAAGCATGTCTATTTACAATTATTTCTCATTTTTGTATCCCAATATAATCAATTTTATTGATTTTAAAACTCGATATGATACATAAGGTATCTAATTTAGAGGATAAACCAAACAGTAGAGAGCTTACATCATAGCTACGTTCAACAGCAATATTAATGTGTTTTTTTTTATAATTGTGCTCCGACCAATTATTTGACATGATCCTGTACCTTCAGCCCTTCCGCCACACTATTTACAGCTACTGCGATCATCCACAGTGCGTCTCCAGAGATCTTTGAATGATTTATCATCTCTAACTTCCACTTTTTTAAATGAGGTTGCCGCAGAGTACTCGTTGGTAGGCAGTGGCTTGGCTATGCACCTGGCATTTCTGACCTCCACGAGCGATGGTAGCTTCTTACCACTATATAATATCACCATATACTCTTCTGCCGACAAAGGCAATGAACGAAAAAAAAAAAACATATTTTGCAAGATTTTGTGACATTCAGTGTTCGCAAAGCCATTATCACTCCTGTCTATCTGAGTTACCTTTTAGTGCTAATAAACTTTTCATCTTGACAACACATGACAGTTCTATACGTGTGGCTACATCATACAATGGTACAACAAAATCACAAAACACTAGTTTATTATGTCCACCATTTCATTAGATTCTTCTGCAGGTTCACTTTTAACCGTCACGTTAGCTTGCAATAGCAACTTCTTTATCTTATCCTTCTTATTCCCAGACATGAGCTTCAAGTATTTCTTGCGGTGCACATCTTTGTAATGGTCCTTCAGATCTTTGAATTTCCTGTAGCTGGACCCGCACAGGTTACAATCCCATTTCTCCTTCCTCAATTTATGGACTTGCCACAGATGGTCCCATTTCATTTTGAGTGTGTGGAATCGCTCCGAACAAATAGGACACAGCGTTTTTGTGCCCTTCACGTGATGCATCCTGATGTGTCTCCTGTTTAAGGACGGAGTGTACGACATCACCGGGCAACAAGGACATTTAATTGGCTTCTCTTTGTGTATCTGTAAATAGAAAGACCACTATTAACTTGCATATTGCCACCACCACCACTTGCATAATTTTAGTATTTATTTGTATTTAATCGTATGTAAGTCTATCTTATATTGTATTTATTATTCACATGTGTATGTATATAAGTAAATATTTTTATATAAGTTTATTAAGATATAGCACCGTCCATGGTAGTTTGCTAATTCCTCTCCCTGCAAGGTTGCCTGGATGAGATCGCTTTCAGCGATAAGGCCGCCAATTTATGCCCCTGACATAATGTCCTTGTATGTGACCTTCTATTATTTGTGTTATATGCTTACTCTGTACATGTGGTGTCATATAAAGAGTTATATTATTATTAATACACTGATAACGTTGTTTTTGGAATGGCTGTGAACTGACTAAGCGTTTCAAAGGCTGCCAAAAGGAGAATGGAGGTAACTCTGGTATCTGGTAAATGGCAACATTAAGTAGAGCTTGTTAGTTTAGACTAAAGTGGGCGATAACGCCCCCTTGTGGGTACTGCAGGCTTAAAGGGGGGCGGTAAGAGACCTAGAAAAAAAATGGGGGCGTTATGTAGAGGCTTGAGAGGCGATTTCTAATATCATCTCGACAGACATTCTTAAACAGCGACTGAGCTCTCGCTATAGTACATTTAGGTAGGTGAAAAAAAGGGGGCGCCAATATGGATGAAGGGCTTAACACTTCCACTTCTGGTCTATTTATTTACTTTTTGATTGCCAACGTTTATCGGCCGAAGACGTGGCGTGGGTAGGCTTCCTATAAGATGGAAGACTGAACCTATTGAGGTTCGTCGAGAGCTGCTGGATGCAAATACGTACTTAACAAATGTTCACGACTGACTTCCACGGTGAAGGAATAGCATCGTGTAATAAAAATCAAACTATATAGCAAAATTATTATAATTACTGGTGGTAGGACCTCTTGTGAGTCCGCACGGGTAGGTACCACCACTCTGCCTATTTCTACCGTGAAGCAGTAATGCGTTTCAGTTGGAAGGGTGGGGCAGCCGTTGTTACCGAGACTTTAGAACTCATATCTCAAAGTGGGTGGTATCATTTACGTTGTAGCTGTCTATGCGCTCCGGTAACCATTTAACATCAGGCCGTGAGCTCGTCCACCCATCTAAGCAATAAAAAAAGGATTGTGTGGTTTTATGAAACCACGGTAAAAGTGAAACTTTTTTCACATTATATACATTTGAACTCTGACAAACAACATTGACATTAAACACTGACAAAAACAAAAACAAAATAGCGTGGAGCACTGGCACAAATGTGTAATAGCCTATACACTACACGGTCAGCTGCTGCGAATTATAGGCGCCGCCATATTGGCCTTGGCTGCTCTGACGAGCGCCTTTCACTTTATCCCTACTCCGCGGCCGACCGTCACGCGACATGCAACACACAGACGAAAAATATCGTTTGTCTGTAAAGTCGGTTTACTGACGATAGTTGAACGTGAAAACGTCATAAGAAAATACTGATGGAATGGTTTCATTTTTCAAAAGAAAATTTTAATTTTATTTGTTTGATAGATATTTTGTATGGACGATATCAAACCACATTCACTTTTCACTGAACTTCATACTTGACGAAAACATGTAAATGTATTATTGTATAGCAGCTGTCCACGCGGATGCATCGCTCACTCAAGTAGGAGACAGATGTCGAATGCTGCCGAACGCGGAGGCCGATTGTGCATCTTTGTCGCTCGTTGCGCGCTCTCGCTTGCACTTCAAGCCTTAAACGGAACGCCTCAGAGCGAGGTAACGCCGCATGAGTCATGTTTTTTCGTGCGTGCAGCCGGCTCCATCGAATTATAAGACGTTGTCACGTCAAAAAGTTTGAAACCAACACACCTCCATGTGCTTCTCGAGATACGGCAGGGTCTGAAATTTCTTGTTGCATATCTCGCATCTGTAGTTCTGCAGGTTGTGGACCTTCTTGTGCTTGGTGAAGTTGCTCGAGTCGCTGAAGACGCGGTCGCACAGCTCGCACGTGTATATCGGCAGCGACGCGTGCTCCCGCAGGTGGCTCTTGTACGAGCTCGCCTTGTCGAAGGCCTCCGAACATATTTGACATCTGCAAGAAAAAAAAAATCTACATCTATATATATATAAAAGAAAGTCGTGTTAGTTACACTATTTATAACTCAAGAACGGCTGAACTGATTTGGTTGAAGATTGGTGAGGGGTAGCTTAGAACCAGGAGAAGAATATAGGATACTTTTTATCACGTTCCCGTGGGACGTGACATTAAACGTGGTATAACAAAACGCAACTGATATAGAATAACAAAACGCAACTGGCAGCTAAACGTTCTATGGTTATATAAAGTTGAATTTTGAAGTTGACCGGTTGAAGTGTTTGAAACAAACCGTGTGGCGGAACAAAGTTCGCCGGGTCCGCTAGTGTATATACAATATATATGAATACGTGAAGCAAAAACTTTGTATCCCTTTTTACGAAAATTTCGCGGACGGAGGAGTATGAAATTTTCCACGCTTATAGAGAATATAGAGAAGTGCACAATGCTAATATTTTTTTAAAATAATGCATAAAAGTTACATTAAATTTAAATCAATAAAGAAAACATTACACTCACTACACATCATGTATTTGACGCACACACGCATGCATACTATTTATTGTCAAACTTTTGTTCTTGATGTCTGTTGTCAAATTGAGAATAGGTTAAATATTGTTTGTCTTTGTTAATATTTTTTTATGGTGTAGTCTAATAATATATAGATTCGCGAGAAAAATACTAATGAGGTCGATTTGTTTCGTCACCTCAACGACCAGTTGAAGAAGCTCCTCTCGCCGTTGACCTGCGCGTCCTTGAGCAGGTGCTCCACCAGGTGGCGCTTGACGTCGCTCTGCCGGTTGAAGGTCCTCTTGCAGACGACGCAAATCTTTTGGCGCTTGAACTTCGGATCGCCCAGTATGTAATCTGAAAACGTGATGATTAATAACGTAGCTGCCATAACGACTTGCTTCGAGAACTCTTTTAATATCTATACATCTTTCGGGCCACAGACGTCAACTGCTATTTTTTGGAACGAAGTTCCTTATGGGACGATGCGGAGGGGTACCCTAACCGGGAAGAAACGTCCGTAACGTAAGATTTTTATTAGTAATGCACACAGTGTACGACTTAACTTTGTAATAACGTACAAAAAATAACATAATTTTATTATATATTTTTTATAAATCATTGTGAATAAAATAAAGTTGATAACTTTGTAAAGTGGTTTTTTTTTATCAATAAAAAAATCGTAATAAAAATCCCAATAATAATTTTCTTTATACCTCAAATAGAACTTAAAATTAATATTTTTATAATAAGGAACTTCGTTCCTATCCGGTGTCCCACGACACCACACATCTTGTTTTTTTATTCGTTCCTATGCTGACCTAACTTTTTTTATTTCTTAGAGGGGTGGACGAGCTCACAGCCCACCTGGTGTTAAGTGGTTACTGACGCCTTTAGACATCTACGATGTAAATGCGTCACCCACCTTGAGATGTAAGTTCTAAGGTCTCAGTATAGTTACAACGTTTGCCCCACCCTTCAAACCGAAACGCATTACAGGACGGATACAAACAGTAGATGTGAAAGGTAATAGATCTTCAGGCACCTTGTTGAAAATGGGTGTACCTCAGGGTTCCATTTTGGGTCCTTTTTTATTTCTAATATATATAAACGATTTACCTAGTTTTATTGAGTCCCGACACGAGGTCGTATTATTCGCAGATGATACATCTTTATTATTTAAAATTAAACGACAATTACAAGTCTATGACGAAGTGAATGATGCGATTTCGTGTGTGGTTCATTGGTTCCGTATCAATAACCTATTATTGAATAGTAAGAAAACTAAATGTATTAAATTTACTTTAAAATGTATTAAACCATCTTTAAATGTGAGACAAGTGGATAGTGATGTAATTGTTTCTGAGGAATCATTGGAGCTTGTTGAGTCAACCGTATTTCTTGGTATAACAGTGGACTCCAAACTGCAGTGGGGACCTCATATTCATAAATTGGCGAGTAAGCTCAGCTCTGCAGCATACGCAGTAAAAAAAATTAGAATGTTAACAAACGCGGACACGGCTCGTTTAGTTTACTTTAGTTACTTCCACAGTGTCATGTCCTATGGCATTTTGCTATGGGGCAATGCGGCCGATGTAGAAATGATATTTATTCTGCAGAAAAGAGCTATACGTGCTATTTATAACATGCACTCAAGGGAATCCCTGAGGGAGAAATTTAAAGAAATTAAAGTTCTCACTATGCCATCCCAGTACATTTTTGAAAATTTGATGTATGTTCGTAAACATATTGAGGAGTTTCCTAAACAGTCGGACATACATAATAGAAATACTAGGAACAAACACAAGCTTGTTGTGCCGATGAGTAGGTTACATAAGATACGAAATTCATTCGGGTGTTTGTCTGTGCGCCTGTACAACAAAATCCCACATGATGTTCAGAACCTACATATACATAGGTTTAAGAAAACTATTAAAGAACATCTGTGCAATAAACCTTACTATAAAGTCAATGATTATCTAGAAGATTGCACAAAGTGGGAATGAGTTGCTCGCTCCAGGCATTTCAATATTGTAGTAATTGTTACGTTATAATACTCAGTGTAAAAAATTCATATTTAAAAAAAAAAAAAAAAATATTAAAAAATAAATAAATAATAATTTTATATGTAAAAAAAAAAGACATGCCCGCTGAGTTTCTTGCCAATTCTTCTCAGGACGGAGGCTAGTTCTTGTGAATTGGCGGTAGTTCTTTTGACGTTCAACAAGTATGTACTTTCATTTATGTTGAATAAAAATTTTTTTGATTTGATTTTGATTTTGATTTGATTTGATTTGACTGCTTCACGGCAGAAATAGGCAGGGCGGTGGTACCTACCCGCGCGGACTCACAAGAGCTGGTCGTACCACCAGTAATTACGCAAATTATAATTTTGCGGGTTTGATTTTTATTACACGATGTTATTCCTTCACCGTGGAAGTCAATCGTGTACATTTGTTAAGTACGTATTTCATTAGAAAAACCATTACCAGCCTGCTATTTCTGCGGCGAAGGAATAATGGGTTCCGGTTTGAAGGGTGTGGTAGTTATTATGCTTACAATTACATGCTACAATTGAGACTTACAACTCCTATCCCAAGACGGGCGGTGGCAATGACGTTGTTAATATCTATGGACTTCGATAACCATTTAACATCAGTTAAGTTGAGGTACGTAAAAATGTTATAACAATATCATTGTTTACCTATAATATTTTTCATCATAGTTTCCGAGAGATTCTTGTTATTCTTGTCCGTATTGACAATGACAACGTCCATTTTTTTTTGGCTCTTCCAGTCCATCAAAGCGTAGTGCCTCTCCCAATGTTCAAAGAAATCATCCTTCGTCACGATCTTCTTGCAATGTCTACACCGGAATATCTTACCGGCTTTTTCCTCCGTCTTGAGGAACTTGATCTTCAGGAAAGTTTGGTTGATGTGGATCTTGAAGTGCCACATCAGCTTCGTTGTCCTCTCGAATGTCTTGAGACACTGCGGACAGGTGTTAGCCTTGAGGTCGTGACAGGTGAGGTGCTCGAGATATTTGTACAGACTGTCGTACTCTTTGTCGCATTTCGTGCAGAGATGCGGCTCGATTTGGACGGCTGGCTTCCGGCCTCTGGTCTCGTGACGTTTCCTCTTCACGTTGAGTAGATCCTCGACTTCAGCGTACTCTATCTCCTCGTCTAGGCTTGAATCCGAGGAGTTTTCCTCGGCTGTAATCGCGAGCTCACTCGGTGAGTTCTCTTTCCGTTCTATCAGATCCTCATACTCCAATTTGACTACGCTGAACTCGTTGTAATCCATCTCCACCTGGAGGTCTTCTTCCACGATCTCCTTCTTGATGTCTTGTATAGATGTAGTCGCTTCGATTTTGATTTTGTCAACGTCACTGCTGATACTCGATTCAACTGACATTCCCTCGTCGCGTTGTGGTGTTGCCATATCATCATTGACGTTTGCATCATCCTCGAATTCATCAATCACTTCAAACGGCATTTCGGGCTTTATATTTAGCTCCGGCTCGGATTCTAGCTGTAATAAAACAGACATTTTTTTTTAAGGAATACTATGACCTGGTAACTAAGACCTTTAGGTCAAATCTTATTTTAATATTAATGAAAGCTTTTTTACATGAAAAATGATTTCTTCTATATTATATATAAAATTAATTGCTGTTCATTAGTCTCGCTAAAACTCAAGAACGGCTGGACCGATTTGGCAAATTTTGGTCTTGAATTATTTGTGGAAGTCCAGAGAAGGTTTAAAAGGTAAATAAATATGAAAATGCTCGGAACTAAATAAAAATAACAATTTTGTTTTTCCTTTGATGTGTCCCCCGTCGGACGGATTCCTTTTGTGTGTTTTAAGTTTATTTTATAAAAAAGTTTAGATCCTTTATTTATCTATTGAGGCACTACGAAGTCTCTCTTTTTACTGGTGGTAGGACCTCCTGTGAGTCCGCGCGGGTAGGCACCACCGCCCTGCCTATTTCTGCCGTGAAGCAGTAATGCGTTTCGGTTTGAAGGGTGGGGCAGCCGTTGTAACTATACCGAGACCTTAGAACTTATATCTCAAGGTGTGTGGCGCATTTACGTTGTAGATGTCTATGGGCTCCAGTAACCACTTAACACCAGGTGGACTGTGAGCTAGTAAAAAAAGTCTGCCGGGTCAGCTAGTTCAAAATAGAGTTTTTTGCACATCATAGATTTTCGTTTGACAGCGACGTTAAACTGACCACTTGTCTCCCCGCAGACGGGTTCGCTTCAGTCTGCTTCTCGTATAGTTGCTTGATGCTGTTCTCCTTCTCCAGATCGTGTTTCTTTTTGTGCTTCGCGAAGTAATACGTGTTGTTGAAGACGCGATCGCACACGTCGCACGTGTGGACGGGTAGGGAGGCGTGCTCGCGCAGATGAATCTTGTACACAATCGAATTCTCCAGAAGCTCCGAACAAATTTGACATCTGGAATTTACATCGAGAGGTGAAAGGCTGGTGTGCTTAGTGCGAGTTTTTTAACGTCCCCGATAGCGTAAAAGTTAACTCAAATTTGAGTATGGAATTGGAACAGCGCCCCTAGCGGCAAACGTAGGCTCTTCGAAGTCCATATAAATTTGGGTTAACTTTTAGGGGAGAAAAAGTTTAGAAAGTTAGTTGAGAAGCTAAAAAGCTCGCACTGAGCACACAGGTTGTATAAAAACAGGCACACAGTGTACTGACATGTTACCCAATACATGTGCTTAAGTTTATCATTCACATAATATGGTAGGCGGCGGCCTCGCTCTGCCCCTGGCATTGCTGATGTTTATGGCCGACGGTAACCACTAACCATCAGGTGGGCCGTATGCTCGTCTGCCTACACAGGCAATAAAAATTATAATAATAAAGGGTTACATAGCCCGTTGAAACTTCGACCTTATGTCAATGACCTTATTTTTTTTATTGGCCTTGTAGGCAGACGAGCATACCGCCCACCTGATGGTGAGTGGTTACCGTCGCCCATGGACTTCAGCAATGTCAGTGGCAGAGTCAAGCCGCTGCCTACCGTTATGTCAGCTGGTGATTTCGTTGCCCATTAATAAAGACTATACAATAGTAAATAATAGGTAGTCATTAGTGGTAGGAACTCTTGTGAGTCCGCAAGGGTAGGTACCACCACCCCGCCTATTTGTGCCGTGGAGCAGTAACGCATTTCGGTTTGAAGGGCAGGGCAGCCGTTGTAACTATACTGAGACCTTAGAACTCATATCTCAAGGTGGGTGGACCATTTACGTTGCAGATGTCTACGGGCTCCAGTAACCACTTAACACCAGGTGGGCTGTGAGCTCGTCCACCCATCTAAGCAATAAAAAAAACTCATCCATACCTCAGGCACCAATTAAAAATCCTGTTGGTGTCTCCGTTCTTTTCACCTTTCAATTGTGCATCCTTTAACATATGTTCAATCAGATGTCTCTTGATGACGTTCTGTCTATTGAACTCCTTCATACACACGACACAGGTTTTTTGTGATTTCAAATATTCATCATTCAGTATGCAATCTGAAGAAAGTGTTCATACAAAAGTTAATTACAATAATTAATTATTGATATCGAGTTTGATATTTGGTTTGAGGGAAATTTTTGCAACTTTACAGGGAAGCCATATTTTAAGGGTTAAAATTTAGAAAAAAATATCATAACCAAAAAATTTTTTTCCCCTGTTTGAATGGAGCAAACTTCATTGAAGTTCAATTAAAAACAAAAAACTGTTGATGCTAATCTATACATGTAAAACTATATACAACTATACATGTAAAAATTGGAGTGTCTGTTTGTAATATTGAAATAACCGCTTTTTACTACATGCATAATGAATATATATACGGTACATACACTAAAATAAAATTTGTTACAATTTTTTGTCTGTCTGTGTCTGTTTGTTCCGGCTAATCTTTGGATCGGCTGGACCGATTTTGACGAGACTTTCACTGATAGGTAGCTGATTATCTAAGGAGTACCTTAGGCTACTTTTTTTAGACTAGCTTCGCCCCGCGGCATCATCCGCGGTACGACAATAGCCGCGGTGAACAACGCGGGATTCACCTATCAATAATAAAATTTAATGTTTCCGAAGCGAAGCGAGGGCGGTTCGCTAGTACTAAAATAAAACGCACCTTTAATTACAAAGATAAATGTCGCGTATTAATCAAAATGTCCCTTAAACAATATAGCCTTTCACCCCTTGATATGTTTCATTAAGTTTTTTTTTTATCAGCTAACTTCAGCAATGCCAAGGGTATAGATGAACTACTGCCCATCCAAAAACTGGCTTCATGTCTGAAGAGTGAATTTTTCAATGGTATCTATATCTTGCATGTCTACGATAGTAACAATAACACAAAATTATACTAAAAACATAACTGACTTGAACAAAATGAAATTAGAATATCACTAGTGGTTTTTTTTATTGCCTGTGTAGGCAGACGAATATACGGCCCACCTGATGGTGAGTGGTTACCGTCGCCCATGAACTTCAGCAATACCAATTATTGGACAATTATTAGGTAAAATAGGTACGTAGGCCTTTCTGTTAAATAATCTGGTTCCCTGACATGACAGATTACTAGGGTTGGCAAAATTTTAGGCTCTGATAATTAATTATATTTTTTATGGGGTATTTTGTAGCACGTTGTATACAAAAAAGGTCAAATCGAGAACCTCCTCCTTTTTTGAAGTCGGTTTTCGTTTACAACATACCTATTATAGTTTTCATCGATGACTCAGAAATGGTTCTGCTTCTCTTTCCAACTTCAAGAGCCGTTTCGTAGCGTTCAGAGTCCTTGAAGCGCACCAACACAAAATGACTCTCCCAGTGCTCAAAGAATTCATTCTTGAAGAATATCTGCTTGCAGTGTTTGCAGCGGTACAGCTTCTCCGATTTCTGGTCGCCGTCCAGGAACTTCGTCTTCAAGAACGTCCTGTTTATGTGGGTCTTGAAATGCCAGGCCAGTTTCATTGGGGTGCCAAACACTGACAGACACTGCGGGCACGTGTTCGACTGGTAATTGTGGCTCGTGAAATGACTCAAATAACTCTCGAGCGTATCGTATCTTGTATTACATTTCGTGCAGACACAGGGCTGTTTAACTCGATATTTATTTACACTTATTACGTCGCCATTTTCCGTGCACTCGGTCCCTTCGTCGTTGCTGGAATCTGATGCAAATTCATCGGACGAAATATTGTGTTCAATGTGACTCACAGACTTCTCTCTCTGGCTTTGTTTCAAGCTGCTTTCACTGTCATACTTTAATTGAATTTCAAACGAATCTGTACCATTATTTACATTTAATATCTCAATATTAAACGTACCGGGCTCGTTGGTAATTTGATTAGTTTTTTCCAAAACTAATTCGGGTTCCTTGTTCTGTTCTGTGGTACTTTGTTCGGTGGCTCTCGTTTTCATTAAGGATATATTATTAATGTTTAAGTTTATGATGTCATCCTCGCATTCCTCGGGCTCAATATTTATTTCTGTTTTTACATTAATCTCTTGCTCGGGCTCGGACTGGAATTTCATAAATATATACTGGTTTTATCACTGGTGGTAGGACCTCTTGGCAGTCCGCACGGGTAGGTACCACCACCCCGCCTATTTCGCCGTTGAAGCAGTAATGCGTTTCGGTTCGAAGGGTGGGGTAGCCGTTGTAACTATACTGAGATCTTAGAACTTATATCTCGAGGTGGGTGGCGCATTTACGTTGTAGATGTCTATGGGCTCCAGTAACCACTTAACACCAGGTGGGCTGTGAGCTCGTCCATCCATCTAAGCAATAAAAAATAAAATAAAAAAATATACACACATTTATGTGGGATCATTCATAAGTAAAAGTGGGATGAATATAACGAAATTCTTTATTTTACTTCACAATCGCTTCGTACACGTCTTTCTAAAACTATTCCATTTTTGAACTTCCCTCTCTAACCTTAAACTACTATCTTTTTCTGAACCTAATAGAATGTTGCCATTAATACTTAAGGTACAACATGCACAAAACAAATATAAAAAAAAAAAAACTGAAAAAACGTAATAAAAATAACACTCCCCACATTTATATACGGGGTGTACGTTCATTATGTTGAAAATAGTGTTTTATGTGGAAAATATTATTCATTTAATAAGTTTTCACGAGAACTACACCTTAACAAAATTATATTTACGTAATTACTGGTGGTAGGACGTTTTGTGAGTCCATACGGATAGGAACCACCACCCTGCCATTTCTGCGGTGATGCAGTAATGCGTTTACAACTCATGTCTCGAGGTGAGTGGCGACATTTACTTTGTAGATGGATTCCGGTAACCACTTACCGTCAGGTGGGCCGTGAGCTCGTCGAATGTTTGCCACACAACATCATCCTGCCTAATCTTGCCGGGAAGCAAATCAATTGTCATGTCTGTAATCTTTTTACGTCTGACGGGCCATAAGTTCGTCGAACAATCTACGCAATGACAAAATAAAAAGCATAAAATTACTAACTTCAGTGAGATCAATGCAGGTCGTTTCACAGTTCCTCGTTGGAGTGGTAGTCTGAGACGTGTTGGCGTACTGCGATAGATGCTCGTACATGTCTTGCTTGAGGCCGTCCAGAGCCGCTTTGAGTTCTTGCTGCTTTGACACTCGAGGAGGTGGAGGGGTTTCGACCACGTACAAGACTTGAACTGAAAGTTTCAAGTATTTTAATGCATACTCTTACTCATACTTTCACTGGTGGTAGAACGTCTTGTGAATCCGCACGAGTAGGTACCACCACCCTGCCTATTTCTGCCGTGAAGCAGTAATGTGTTTCTGTTTAATGGGTTCGTTTGAAGGCTGGAGCAGCTGTTGTACTGTTAAAAGTGAGACCTTAGGACTCTGGTAGTCACTTAACACTAGGTGAGCCGTGAGCTCGTCCAAGCAATAAAAACGAAACTCTTCTTAGGTTAGGTTAGATTAATTCCCCGGTATAATTGGCTTATCAAACTGATGCGCCAAGAGTTTAATGGCTGTTAAGGAGTTAATGGAGTTAAACGCTAATCATTCCATATAGAGCATAATTCGATAATGTGTAGGTAGTAGTGTGTATAGAGAATCTGTGAGCAGTGCAGGACTGGACTTTGTGGCGAGGCTTGGGGGAAGCCTATGTCCAGCAGTGGGCTGATAGAATAGAATACAGCATATTAATAACTAACATAACTATACTTGAGACCTTAGAACTTATATCTCAAGGTGGGTGGCGCATTTACTTTGTGAATATCTATTGGCTACAGTAACCACTTAACACCAGGTGGGCTGTGAGCTCGTCCACCCATCTAAGGAATAAAAAAAATATATATGAGCCCGTACTGGGCTCACTATCCTGCCATTTTCTAGTGCTAAATAGTGATGCATTCCTGTGTGAAAAGTAGGAGAGCCATAGTAGAAAACACTTGAGAGTTTAAACTCAAACTGGATGGCTTTACTAATGCCATGGATTCTATTAGCCATGAATTTAGTTACTCTTATAGACATATACTGAAAACAAGAATTACCTTTAGTTCCCGGCAGTCCCTCGATCTTCGATAAGAACAACGCTTTCGGAACAATAAACGGCAACACCAATGGTATTTTGTTGTAATACGGATTCCTATTGTGAAACTGTTTCTTGTGCTGCTTCCTCAAGTCCTTGTGAATGAAAACGCCGCATCTAGTGCACAAATACTGCAGGGTGAAGTTGTTTGTGTGCGTTAAATAATGATCAACCAGAGAACATTCGCTGAAAAACTTCTGAGAGCATATATTACAGCTGACGTTTGTTTTTGAAAATAAACCATGTATTTCTTGAGCTCCCTTCATATCAAATTGTCTGTAGCATTGGTTGCACCAACGGAACCACTTCTTAGGGCACGGGTGTGTTTTGAATACGGCATATCTAAGATTACATTCTGCACACAATTTCGTCGGAATAGTGCTTGGTCTGTCTGACCTCACTGTGTGTCTTTGGAGATGATCTTCTAGGATACGTTTAGAGCTGAAACTCAATTTGCAATACAAACAAGGAAACTGCTGTTTCCCATGTTGTGTTTGTTCATGTACCCTTCGAGCACCGCAGGTTGGAAATTTCTCTGTACACTTCAAACAGAAATAAGGGTAATCACCCTTATCGGGTATGATGGGACTGTAGTTTGCTTTAAAAAAATGATTCTCGCACCGTCTATCACACTTTAAACATTTTCCTTGGGTTCTAATATTTTTAAACGGAGGCCTTAATTCCTTGCTTAAATAGGCAACTATATTTGATTCATACCCTAAATCTTCAAAGTTGACTATATAATCAGTCTTATGCTTGCGTAGGTGTTCTCTGAAAGGATCCAAATCCCACCAGGCCTTATCGCACATATAACACTTGTAAAACTGGGGCACGTCAGAATATCTGGTACACTGTCTGAACCAACATATCCACTTATCCAGTGCAACCTGTATTGATCTCTCTGCAAAATCCGCCTCCAAAATTTTCCTGTTCCAACGGAATAAAGAGTTTAGAACTCTCACTGATAGGAACTTATCAGCATAATTATCTAAGACCTGATGATGTTTGGCTGCATCGATTAGTTCTTCGGCCGATATATGAACTTGAGCCGTGAAGCTCTTTATTTTCTTGTAAACATTAAGTTTACTCAGAGACTCAACATCTGATGTTGCTCTATTGTAATTATTGCAGTTACTCGCTCCTCGGAGCTCCTCAATATTTGTAATATTATTGTCACTTATGTCTTCTTCATCATCATCATCATCATCATCATCACCATCACCATCATCGTCACCATCATCATCATCATCATCATCATCATCATTTGCCGGTGGATCATCAATGTCCTCTTTATCTGAATATTGTTCGACTTCCACTTCCACCTTTAACTGGACCGGTGTTGAATTAGATGGTAAATCAACAGAGATAACTTTTTCCTTTTTAATGTTTTTCATTATCTGCATTTCTAAGTCTTTCTGTGAATTAATACAATAAATAAAATAAAAGGGTCGACCCTTAATTCATTTTTATAGTGAACATGACCTGAAACATCTTGAACATCTTGAATTAGCTCAAGATAAAGGCCCACCCAAAATTACAGACACAAAATAGTATGTTCTGCAACAACATTGCGGTAGCTACACTGAACTTGTCTTGACTAGGGTACTTCTCGATACAACAGCACAAACATGAAATATTATATATGCATTCAACTATGTTAAAGTGGTTCTGTTCGAAAATGGGTAATGTTGTTGAATGAATGCAGATTTAATAATCCTTTTTAAATTTGTACTGGTGTATTTTTACTGGTGGGAGGACCTCTTGTGAGTCTGCACAGGTAGGTATCACCGCCCTGCCCATTTCTGCCGTGAAGCAGTAATGCGTTTCGGTTTGAAGGGCAGGGCAGCCATTGTAATTGTACTGAGACCTTAGAACTTATATCTCAAGGTGGGTGGCGCATTTACGTTGTAGATGGGCTCCAGGAAAATAGTTTTTTAAGTTTGTAAATTTGTATTATATTGTATTGTTATAAATTTGTCCACCTCTATATTAATTATTTGATACTGCTTGTAGCACCCAACGTAAGAACTTCCTGGGGCAGAAATAGACAGGATGATCATAAGAATAGGCTGAACTTAACATTATCATTATTGCTTACAAGAGAGGTGGCCGTGACAGAAACACATTTGCCACTGCGACCAATACAGATTTCTTTGGGACTACCTCAATAGTAGATATCTTTTTACCGGCCCAAATCCTTTCTCGGAAATATCCCATTGACCTTATCAGTGGAAAAGATGTGCTCTCTATAAGCTGAGCTGCCTTTGTTGTGTCAATAGTCACAGAAAATGCAGAATGTTCGTCTCACAGTTCCTGAAGATTGGATCAGCCGTTTATCTTTTACTGGTCTACTAAATTAAATTGAGAACTTAATTTTCCATAAACGCTCTCACTAGAACCATTACTTTTCTTTGCAATTTAATATATTCCCTGAATGAATATTAAGAGCGGAAATATAGAAAGAATACTAGTAATACACACTGTGAGGTAGTGATAATAGTCAATTAAACTAACTATGTGACATTTTTTAGTCATTTCAGTTTGGCTTAACATGATTCACTATGCAATTAAATAAATATAAAATTAGAATTGAATGTGATGTGATATTACTTATTTAATAAAATTAGGTATAAAGATGGGTACATTGCATTTTGATTTATTTCATTTTTGTAATTTATTTATAATTCGTCAAAATTTGTACAATAATACCCACAAAAATGGGGTCGTGTATTTGCACAAGGTAGTTTTTGTACCGAAAAAGAAATTAAGAAATATTCAACACAATGTGTTTAAAGCTACAAAAAAAGCATGCAGTGTAAAAATAAGAGTTCTAACCATAGAACCTCATTCCTTTGGACATTTCGCAAAGAATATTATTTCTTCTACAACAAATAAAGGTATTAGAATGTATATTTAGCATTTATATCTTTAGGAGGTATGTAAAAATATCTTATTTCACAATCAAATTAAAAGTATCATTTCAATCAAAATTGGGTAGGTAGTTGAAAGTTTTTTGGTGTGACAAAATGGTGTATAATGGCACCTACCTCCATTTCTTTTATTTCCTTTATCTCAGGGTCATCATCCCATGAATCACAAGATTTACTATTATCTTCGGAATCACTTTCCATAATTTTAATTAGCTATACACAAATACACACCAGTGAAAGTTAAGTTTGATTAAATATTTTAGAATACAAACATTTTGGAGAGTCAAACTAGTTCTCGTAGTCAAATGAACAATTTTTTTCTAAACTACAATCTCTATTTGGACCACCCTTTTTAACTTTCGCAGTTTTGTTCGAGATAGACAGAGATGCAAAATCAAGAAACGTCAAATCTTTGGGTAACATAATCATTTTTTATTCGGTCGGTTTGCAAGAATATGTTCTGCTTGTGAGTAGGTACTTATACGGGAATTAGATTCTGTGTAAATTAAGTAAGTATGGGTAGTTATCATAAGTTAAGCACTGTTTATATTTACACTTGACGCGGCTTTAATGATTTAATGTTCAGTTCATTTTTTTCCAAAACTTAAAGAATTTACAAAGAAGTCTAATAAAATAATATGTTGAGGTCTTGGATTAGGTAGAAATTTACCGTGATTAAAAACATGATATCGTTAGTAGGTACGTATTATTTAATTAGCTAATCCTTTGAACTTAGTATAAAAATCTTCACAGAGAGCCGCTTATCACTTGACATGCTATTTTAGTTTCTAAAAAGCAGAAACAAAGTGGGTAGATAAAAATAGTTTTATGTGATCCGTTTGCTCATTCCGTCTAATTCAGACATTTTTTTAATTCTCAAAATCCAGTTGACAGCTCTGTTTTACGAGAAAAAGAATCAAGAAAAACACTTAGGCGATTACGATAAAATCGATAAATGGTCTGTGCAAGCATAACATTTTACATCACACGTGTTTCGACTAAAACAATCATGAGTTTTCTTTAAAAGTAATAAAATATTTTTTAATAAACCAAAGTGACTAAAAAAAAGTTGATCGAAATTCATATTACGCCAGTAAATGTTAAAAAATAATTTCAATTTACGAACTCCTGCGTTATTACTTTAGCAACGTATTAGAGTAGAAAGTTTAGGTTATGAGTCATGAGTAATTCTAGCAAAAGGTTAAAGGGGTTTCTATATTTAGTTTTGTCTCAACTATCCTTTCTATTATTCTTCATTCTTTTATTAATGTCTATATTTCGGTGCATCAATAAATAAATTAAAAACTCCAATGCTAGTTAATCGTGCATACGTGGGTTAGCATTAATTAATAATTTTTTTCTCACATCACAGGATCTCTTCATCTTATTAAAATTGCGTGTGCTCAATGATATTTTATATGTAAAAAGATATACAAATCATTGCGTGTGCTCAGAAATATACTTGAAAAATATAGAATTCAAACATAACGGAATCAATTTCAACTAAAATGTCAAAATAACATTTATTTATTCGGTTTTTGTTTATTTATAATTTTCTGCAAATCAGTCAATTTTAAGGATTGACCTTGAAATGTGGCGGAAGATTCTAACACCGGTCACTCACATGCGCACGAATACGCAAACCCGCAAGTGTAGGACGACATTTGCGAATGATTATGCAAAGTTCTCGCTGCATTCGTGGTTTTCCAAGCTGTGTCGGTTTTTTAACAGACATCAAAGCGCGCGAACCTCGAACCTTCGCGTAGTCTCCCACACATTCGCTTGCCCAGTTGCGCCGACGATTGCGAAGGTAACGGACGTATACTATACGCCATTTTCATAGTTCGTGACGTCTACTGTGTAGCGTATCTCCATCAAAAGAAATCCCATAAAAACAGCATGGCTGTTAATGATGTCTGGGAAAGATTAAAAACTCTTTTTCTCTTCAATGTTCTATTGACGAATTAAAAAGGAGGAGAAATTCGTGAGACATTCGTAAACAAGTGTAAGAGGAAGCGCAAACGGGTTCGCAAATTGAGTATGCGAACCCATTTGCACAGCCGCGCCGCTAGGTTTGCGAATGAATGTTTGACGGCCCTTCACATGCGCGCAAACATTCGTACAATGTACGAATATTTGCGCGCATGTCAGTGACCGGCATAAATAATATTATAGAAAAAAAAACAATCATATCATTTTAATTAATAGAAAATGGTAAATTGATCACAATTTTTTATTTATTAAAGAATTTTATATTTAAAAAAAATCCATTGATCTCTTTTTTCCACGTCGTCGGCTGAGCATCATACCATACACAGTTGAATAATTCATGTTTTTGTATTGCCCGAGCAGGCTGACGAACATACGGCCCACCTGATGGTAAGTGCTACCGTCGCTCATAGACGTCAGCAATGGCAGGGGCAGAGCCAAGCCAATGCCGAATTTTTTTGTTTTTCTGTTCATGTTTTCAAATTTGTTCTTTGTGCTTTCGGGCAGGATCTGTGGTTAGTTTCCCGAAACAATATTTTTCGGTAACAATAAAAATAAAAGTTATATGCTGTAAAAATATTTGCAATAAACATTTCAAAGCGATAAGAAGGGATTGTTTTATTTTAATAAAAATATATAAAAAAAATGTTACGACGCGCGAATGTAATATTTTTATTTTTCACTTACGTTTTTAATGTTTCATGTGAAAATGTACATTTTAATAACAGTAAGTAAACTACATTGTAATGCATTATTTGCCCATAAAATTATCTATGATTTTTAGAGGGGTAGACGAGCTCACAGCCCACCTAATGTTAAGTGGTTACTGGAGCCCATAGATATCTACAACGTAAATGCGTCACCCACCTTGAGATATAAGTTCTAAGGTATAATTACAACGGCTGCCCCACCCTTCAAACCGAAACGCATTACTGCTTCACGGCAGAAATAGGTAGGGTGGTGGTACCTACCCGTACGGACTCACAAGAGGTCCTACCACCAGTAAAGATGATTAGTGCTAGTCCTTAAAGCCGTAATTAGGCCTAATTTATACAAAATGTTTATATTTTCTTTCTTCTAGGTTTCCTATTTTCCAAAGTAATTTGTTCAACTTCTCTACCGTATAAAGGACAGCACTCTGTCTATTATTAATTTGAAGCAGTCGTACATTACACCTCAGTGTTTTTTAACGTTCTCGTTAGCTTAAAAGTTAACTCAAATTTGTATGGAGTTGGAACGTTTGCCTACGTAGGTACCTATTAAAAGCATACTGAAGTTCTTCTTCTTCTTTATTTTTTGGCTCAGGCACGGTTTGCGCATTAGCCAGCGTCATGTAATAAGATTTTTATAATTCGCCGTTTTAATTATTTACAGTTTATGAATAATGAAAAGCAAAGGAAACTAATAGCGACATAACATTAATGATTAAAAACGAATTAAATTTACAAATAAGATGATATGTGATAAAATAATATAACCTCAGTAAAATGGTGGTCATTTACTGAGACTTTTTCAGTGGACTTTTTGGAGGATCCCGATAGTTACGTCCAGCGGTTTTGTTTTATTTCTCCCACAATTGTGCACTTTCACAGATTCGAAACAAGAAATGAACCACCGTTATTAAACATTTAAACCTGAAGAAACGCTAAATAGACAAAATAAAACAATTCACGCAACTTCGCTCGTCGCGTTCCCGCCAAAAAGTCCACACTGAAGTTAAGCTAGTAGTTACTTATTGGAGCGGCTCTGTCAGAGGTATTCTGCAGAGAAAAAAATATTTTTTAACACTTTAACTGCCATGTAGGTCACCGGTGCCCTACGTGGCGCACTGAAGTAATTATTCTCTCTCTTCAATCTTCTAAGGCGCCGGAATATCTAGTAGACTCTGGGAACGACGAATCCGAACGATTCTGAGAATCAATCTATTTCTAAGAGACTTAAAAGACTAAAACATACATTACAGGCTCCTTAGTAACAAAAATCGACCTAGTTACTTCAGTGCGCCACGTAGGGCACCTACACGGCAGTCAACGTATTAATAATAAAAACACACTCTTCTAATAGTCGCCCCGGCACCTACCATAATTATTATTAATCGTCAATAAACAACATAAATATCCAGGCAACTTAAAAATCCAGGCTTAATTCGGTAATCTCCTAAGCACGGAGTCAAATGTGACAAATACGGGATACCTTTATTAATAGCATTGTTTCTTTTTTGACAGCGATGACCATAAAAAGTTTTGTCTTCTGGCCGAACGCGACGATTCCTTTTTACATAAATCCCGATCACTTTGGTGAGTGTTAAATTATTTACGCGGGAAAAAATATGTTTGTCTCTGACATTTGCAAAGACTATAACCTAAAATATAATTATAAATGATGATGATGATGATATATGCTTAAATTATAAATGAATATGTGTTTTTTCGCTTCGAGAAGCTATATATACCTATAAATAAAATCAGAGTTTCGGTTTGTAATATTGAAATAACCGCTTTTTACTACATGCATCTGAATATATGTATATATACGGTACATACACTAAAATATATGTTTGTCTGTCTGTCTGTCTGTCTGTTTGTTCCGGATAATCTCTGGAACGGCTGGACTGGTTTTGACGAGACTATCACTGTTAGGTAGCTGATGATAAGGAGTAACTTTTTTAGACTAGCTTCGCCCGCGGCGTCACCCGCGGTACGATAATAACCGCGGGTAACATCGCGGGACTCAGCTATCAATAACAAAATTTAATGTTTCCGAAACGAAGCGAGGGCGGTTTTTTTTTATTGCCTTTGTAGGCACATGAGCATACGGCCCACCTGATGGTGAGTGGTTACCGTCGCCCATGGACTTCAGCAATGCCAGGGGCAGAGCCAAGCCGCTGTTCGCTAGTTTTTAAATAAAAACAATGTGCTGAACATTTTTTGCTGCACATCAGAGTTTGCGTATGGAGGACAGAAGTAAGGATCCACCATTTTGTGTAGGGGAAAAGTTGAAAAAGTGTCCATCTGTAAACAGCAAGTTATTAGTGGAAGACGCACCGAAATAGCGCTAGTGTACGAAGTGGAAATGGCATTATGATAATTGTAAATAGACATGCTTTAACAAAAACCACCCACTCGGAAGACCCAGCGAGAAACTCAGTGGGTATTTTTCCTATTATTTATCTACTAGCTAACTCTGGCTTTCAGATCACGAACAATCGCTCCAAATAATGACCGCGCTCTCGGTGTTTTCCTTCAAAACATGTTTGAGGTTCACTCCCGCCATGTCGCACCCGGGAGACACGGATCACGTCCTGCTGTTCGCCAACCCGGACGGAAAGAGGAGGTGCGCCTTGAAGACCGAGGGTCATTCCGTTTTCGAGCCTCATGTGAGTATATTCTTAGTTTTTTCTTGGCTGGTATCATTCGCATTTATTTCTATATTATAATTATTCGGTATTTACTTGCATATTTTTAGTATTTATTTGTATTTAATCGTATGTAAGTCTATCTTATATTGTATTTATTTTTCATAAGTATATATTTTTTATGTAAGTTTATTAAGATATAGCACCGTCCATGCTAGTTTACTTATTTCCTCTCCCTGCAAGGCTGCCTGGAGGAGATCGCTTTCAGCGATAAGACCGCTAATTTATGTCACCGTTTATTATTTGTTTTATATGCTTACTCTCTACATGTGGTGTCAAATAAAGAGTCATTATTATTCGCATACGATTCAAGATTTAGAATTGTAGATGTAGATAGTGCGTTGATTTTTAGGCAAATTAGGGTAAATGTCCTTTTTTTTGCAGCTGGTAACACTCGGCTACGATTGCTTAAAATCTCCTTACATCGAAATGATGATAATGAAATCGCTCGGCTTCCCATTCGAACATAATCGGCCCAACAGGAATTTGTACGTCGAAATACTAGTCGAAAACATACAGCCAGGTAAGTCGGAATATCAGTTATAGCACTATATTTATAATAACTAAATTATGTCGATCACAATCACGGAACGCGTAAACTATTCGAAAAGTGGGAAATAATGAAGACTATTTAAAAGAAAAAAAAGGGTGCGTGTACTTATGTACGCGCGTAAGAAGTTATACTTTATTTTTATTAAATTTATTACTTTTTTTTTAAATATTAAATAATTAATAACAAATATTTAACGTTAATAATTTAATAATATTTAGTATGAATTATATTAAACAATAATTTTGTCATTTATATTACTAAAAAATGAATGCTAATAACACTTTTTTTTACGAGTGTACATGCGCGAAAGTTCACCTGCGGCTATATTCAGACTCTCCAAGTTATGTCGGTCGTATTGTAATGAGCGATTTAGTGGACAACTTCATTCTGTTAATTTCGTGTCACGGTGCGCGCGCATCGTAAAATTTTACTCTCATCAATTTTTCATAACGCGCCTAAAGAAGTATAACTTCAAAAACGCAATTTTAAACCGTAAAAATTGTTTTAATTATGTTTTTTACCTATTGGTAATTGGTAAAGGTGACAATTTTGAAACTACAGGAGAGCCACTTAAAGTATAATAAATCAAAACAAATGCGAAAAACGTTAGACGCTAAAAGTATAATGGGCTGACGGTATCGCCAAGAACGATTTCTTCTGCACAACATTCAGGTAATATTAACCTCGGGGTGCTTACCGATTGAAAAGAGAATATGCAAATAATAATATCAATAATGATATTAATACTATTTTACACAGAAAAACTAAATAAACATAATATATTCAATACCTATGATAATTTATATATTGACGTAGATGGTAATGTAAGGAGGGGGCGTCCAAACAAGGCTTTGATGCATGGTGTAAAAGATATTATGCGATGGGTGTCCCCCTCCTGGCTGAGCCTTTGCTCTCTCACCTATCCTGGTGAAACTGGAAAGGCCTTCAGGCTACCAGTACACTTTCCTTCATAAAAAGGGTGTTAGTCCAACTATGAGGTATGTATGACACCTGAATAGAAAAAGGGGAGATGCAGCGCCGACCCCACATAGTGGGATAAGGGCAAAAAGAAAAATAAAGAAGAAGAAGATACACATATATTGATAAATCAGAGTAGTACTTTATGTAAATGACACAAAGACAATATTGGAACGGCGGTTGGTTCGCAGGGAGGCGAACCGGCCGCTCCAGCTATGTCCAAATGAGTGTACTTCACGTTCTTATCTTCCAAACCGCTGACTTTGATCAGGAAGCCCGCGGCCAGCTGATGATGGCGGAAGGTCTTCTCCATATCCACTTGAAGTAGATCATCGCCTTTGCACTTCCCAACGTTGACAGCCAAGTCTTCGGGCCTGACGTATGAAACTTCAATCGGCTCTGACACTCTGGTGCCGCTGAACTGCAGCCTAGTGGAGTGATTCGTGGCTCTAGCACTGTGATTGTCCATAGCAGCCACGTAGTTTCCGTAGCAGGCTCTAGCATGGCCTGTCAGTGTTGCTATGGTATATAAATGCGGGTTTAGTTCTTGGGCAGCAGTTTCGGCGAACTTGTACAACGCATCGGCCATAGCGAAGCGGCCTTCAGCGTCTGTGTTCGTGACGCGCACCGTCTTCCCGCTCTTCGATAAGAGCAATTCGTCGGAGACATAAGAGTCTTCGCCGATCGAGTTTCTGCAGAGGCACAGCGCTGCGACCACTTTCAAATGCGGAGGCTTCAGTATGGAGCAGGCCTTAAGGAAGCCCGCGGCGGCGGCGGCTCCGCATTTATCTCTCGCCATACCTGCCATCTTACCGGAAATCTTTATATCAGCGCCGCCAGTGTCGTAAGTGACTCCCTTGCCGACAAGCAGCAGCGTTTCGCTAATCCTTGCAGGATCCGAAGGCTTGTATTCGATTTCGACAACTCGGGGCTTGTGCCGGTCTATGTGGCTGGCCGCTCTTGACACGGCCGATAAGAGCGGATAGTCCTTATTAATTATATCTTCGTCCTCGACAATCCGCACTTCGATGTTGCTGTAACCGCTGAAGGTTGACTTCAGATGTTCGGCTATCTTTATCGGACTCATTCTCTCGGGATCACCGCCTCCGATGTCTCTAGCTAGCACGCGAGCGCGTTCAAGCGCTATGGCATTGCGAACGATCTTTTCGAAGTTCTCAGTTCGTTTTTCTTCGGCGTGGAGACCGATTCTTGAGAAGTTCCTCGTGCTGTCTCTCTCTCGCATCTGGAGGGGCACGTACAACGCTTCCAGGGCTCCGAGGATCGCTACCAATTGTCCGTCCGGAAAGTCGACGACGTTTTGAACGACTAGTAAAGGTCTTTTCGCGCCGGCGTCCAGCGCACGGGTCATTCCTTTGTACGCTGCTTCCTTCACCACCCTAGCGTCATGGTAAGGAGTGATCTTCCCGGTCGGGGCCAATATAATCCTGCCGCCAGATACGTAGTCGCATTGCCACACCGTCGCCGACTTGTGGATGTGCTTGTCAAGTTTCCCGATTCCGTCGACGAAACTCCCGATGTGTCTCGGCAATGGCACGTTAAGTTCCTCGGGGTAAAGGATTAAGATCACCGCATCGTAATCAGCCGACTGAAGGTTTGTTTCGATGAAAATATTCTCGTATAGCTTGTATTCGACGAACGGCATTTTTGGACGATCGTTGATTACGTTGTGAACGCCCGCTTCGGTGACATCGAATTACAAGCTAACACGCGTAGAGATGGGAGCTGCGGGGCCGAAACGCGAAACCGAAAGCAGCGGTCGGTTTATCTAGACGGACAACTGCGAAATGCCATTTAAATGTGCATCTTCATTTATCTGTTCGTTCGTTATAATGACACACGCGATACGAATGATATACGAAGAGCAACGGTTGACATTTGTGTCAATAAACTGATAATAATTATTATATGAATAACAGATGGCATTGAACGTTTTATTGTATGAAATGCTTTGTGTTATGAAAGCCTGGCCTGGAAAGACCAGTCGTATCTGTTTCTGCCGCGAACAAACCACACTTTTTAATTTACTAGTATTTACTAGTCATGAAATTTGAAAAATGCTTCTAGGTGTCTTAAAAGGGTTTTTAAGGCAGTAGCGCTCTCTGAGTATTTATACCAGCGTCTTGCCGTATTGAAGACTTACACGGATGGGTAACGCGATCCTGTCTTCCGTGAAGCCGTCATGCATTACAGTTTCAACAGCCGTTACACAATACAGTTAAGAATTCTACCTCATATCCTCAAGGTGGGTGACGGTAGACGCTTTATGTCCATGGGCTCCGGTAACCACTTAATACCCGATGGGCCTTGAGCTCTTGCGCTTACAGATAATAAATAACAGACACTTACATGTTTTATTTATTGTTAAAGACTGACCGCCACCATTTTGACTGCGATTCTCAACTTCTATGATTTAACCATCTCATACAATGAGGAAGCGGAGCGAGTGAGGGAGAGCTGGTCTCTCTCAGCGTAGGGTCTGTGGTGGGGTCCTCCCCCGATGACGATTCGTCACGACAGTGATAGTGGTCGCCGCGTGACGCGCTACCGGCAATCCAGCGCACTGTGCAGTTGATATTGAGGAGCTGTTGATGGTTGGTGTATCGCGTATCGCCCGGCAGGTTGAATCTGATCCTGAAGGGTATCCCGCAATACCGGCAGTTTCGCCTAAGCGACCTGACGCGTCATTGACTAAAATAGACCGACGTCCATAATGTGGACCACACGTCTGATTGCAGTACTGTCCGCGGTCACCTTTCCGAGCACTCTGGTTTAGTGAGGGGCTATGGCAGTCATAAACACCCCTTGTGGGGATCTCGTGAGGAAATTCTTAATAACGCTTTTATATACGTGGTATATCTTTGTGATCCGTACATATACTCATCGCCTGTTTTTTTTTCCTACCTAAGCCGATAGCCTTGAGGGGCTATTTCAGCGTAACCTTAACTAGTAGGTGAGCTCACGGGGCTCAAACCTGACGACGTTGCTAACACGAACCCTAGCAAGAGCCGTGCTTCGCAGGATCTACCACCGGATCGGAAACCCACTGCGAAGATCCGGCGAGAAACTCAGCGGGCCGTCTGTGTTTCTCGTGTACGTTTTAAGGCGATTTTTTTTTTTAATATTCGGTTTCGTGTGCCGAAAGTCGAAATAATAGAGAATCACTTCTATTCGTTATCTTAATTTCGACGTAATCGTTTATTATTTATCGTATATTATTGAGTACGTTATCTGGATATTTGTATTCACATTTCGTAATGTCTTACAAAAGTGTAAGCAGGAGGTTTTTGAACTTTAAAAAAAAATATCTGTTTTTTTTTTGCTTAAATGATTGGTTATACGGGCACATAGACATCAACAACGTTAATGCCGCCGCTTAGCTTGAGACGTGAGTTGTACAAGTCTTAGTTGTTTACAGTACAACGGCTGCCCCGCCCTTCAAACCGAAACGCATTACTGCTTCACGGCAGAAATAGGCAGGGTGGTGGTCCGTGCGGTATCACACGCGCCGCACCACCAGTAAGATTTAAGGAGTGACGTTGCATGGGCGGGGCGACGTGCGCCTTGATGCCATAGAAACAACGTCTAAAATTGGCCGTCCATGGGTCTATGATATACTGATACTCTTTAGTGGACTTTTTGGAAGAACCTGTGCATCTACGTTCCTCTCACGGACGCTAAACAGTTAATCATAAATCACTCTTTAAACATGAAGAAATCCTGAATGAACACAACAAAAACAATTCGCACAACTTCGCTCGTGACGTTTCCAGCGTAAATTCGTGGATAATTCAGTTTATTTTTAATTTTTTATTGCCCTTGTTTAGGAAGACAAACGTTCGGCCTATCTGATGGTGAATGGTTACCGTCGCCCCTAGTCTTCAGCACGCCAGGGACAGAGCCAAGCCCCTGCTTACCAAAAGGTGTGATGATGGGTTTGTGTTGGCACAGAGGCATTGGAACTATTCACGAAGGACATATCCCTGCCAGTCGAGTTGAGGAATCTTCCTTACGATTACAATAGCGTCATGCACTTCGGCGCGAGGGAAAACAGCAAGAACGGGCACAGGACCATTCTTTTTAAGGTACCCTACCACTCTGTATTAGTTCTATATCTTTCTAGATGTTTGTGGGTGTATGAGAACTTCTCCTAAACAGCCGAACCGATTTTGATGGTTTCTTAAGGTGTGTGTGTTCAAGTAGATTTTGAGTATGGTTTAGATTGAAGGTGGAAGGCGAATTCACATTGTGATTTCTATAGGCTCTGGCAGACTACTTCGCCCAGCTCATATACGCATCTTCAATTACAAAACGTCATAAGTAACTTCGTTTAATAACAGACCTACAGTAATTGCTAGCACAGATACTTATTATTTCATCCAAAAGTTAAATATATAAATAAATAAATTCTAGGATCCCAAAAGAACACAAAATCGTGTAGGACTAAGTGAAATTGATCTGAGGAAAATCGAAGTCGTCTACGGACCTGAATGCTTGAAGAGGGACAGACAAGCAAAGATCGATCTCTGTCAGTCTTACCCGGGTGTAGCCAGGAGGAAAAGAGACGTAAGAATCAGCGAAAGCCTACGGATCAATCCTGATATAACACCTTTCCCAAAGAACCTTAATATAAGCGAGAACGACGAAATTAATTCCGCAATTATTGATGACGATTTAAAATCAACGTTAGACAAACTCGAAATTACTGATGAAATGGAAATATTGATAGAGGAAATACATACAGTTATAGACATGGCCGTATTAAGGGCCAAAACAAGACACTGCAATGGCACTACGAAACATAACAGTGTTCCTAAAATAAACGCGACCAATACAGATTTATCGGGAGCCGTTGAAATAATAACTAATTTGGTTATAAGTAACGTTGAAAACGCTTTGACGAGAAAAGATTTTTGCACGTCTAAGGACATTCCAATAGCCAGATGCGGTTATGGATCCGACGATAGATGTAGGCAGACGTACAGATCCACGAAATCGGGTGCAGTTAAATATTCAACGCAACACAGACCTACTTATTACCAATCGACGAACCATTATCCTTTGTCGAGAATAAAACATTTGCTAAGATCCCAAGGCGATAAGAATACCACAGACGCAAAAGGATCGGATAGTATATCGGATGTGAATGTAGAAGCTAAAAAAGATAGAGTAAGAAAGAAAAGAAGTTTAGATGGAGACGTAGAAGAAGATAGTGTTAGGAAATCGGAAAAGGGTAGCGAAGAACCTGGAAATTTGTCTTCGAATCACGTTACTGAAGCTCTTGATGCCGTCTTGAAGAATGAAACTGGTGGTAGAATGTTTTTTAAGGCGCGACATTACAGGTACATTAAATCGAAAAAGGATTTTAATTAGCTTTAATGCTGTGATCTGCTGATAAAAGAGCTGATATGAGTAGTCATTATTTTTAGTATTAGAACAATGAGCTATCACTAAATAGCAGCACTGAAAGCGCGCACTATGTTGGTCGTTTGTACATAGCATCTTTTGAAAGATTCATCAATATAAACTAACGCCATTTTAACACTAAAAAATGTCAGACATGTCAAAAAAACTGGCACTACAATCTTATTTCTAACAAGAACATATTTTGGTTCTTTAAACTCGAGGCCACAGAATCAAAGCTTTACGAAATAATTAAATTTTGCTTTGTTTTTTGCCATTCGAAATAGACGACCTTGGTAAGTGTCAAAGTCGCTTGTGGATATCAGCGATGTCAGGGCGAAGACTCTCCTCAAACCACGTTTGAAGCAGAATTTGTCATAGCATCTGGGAAACTAGGTGGAGGGGAGTTTAGACCCAAGTCGGGTGTAAAAATGGCATTTAAAAATATTTTAATACACAGTTTGGCTATTTTAAAGTCATTGCTATTTGTCCAGCCATACCGGTAATGAGGACATGATGAAATTCGACAGATGGCAAGCCGCTATCTGTAACTAATTTCAAGTCTTTTTCTAATCTCGTTTGAGAAAGAATAAGCTATATGTATTGCAAAATTTTAAACGCAAAGGGACGTTGTCTATTGCAAAATGAATATTTTCCAGAGTTGATTTATTTTTTATTTATTGCCTTGTGTTGCACCCGGTGTTAACCCTTTGACTGCTGTATAGGTCACCGGTGCCCTGCGTGGGGCACTGAAGGAATTATGTCGATTTCTGTTACAGCTTGATTGACTGATACATTTTCAACTTATCCCTCAAAATGGTGCTTCTTACCTTCTATAGCTACAACGAATATCGTTCAATGTTTTATTGAGCGCAGTTTTATAGTTCGAATTTCTAATTTACGTTGAGCCTTTTTTTAGCTCTTAAGCGGGTATTTTAAATTAAACCTCCCTCATATAATTAAAAATGTGCTTAAATCAATATAGCGTCAAGAGCAAAAATCAAATGTCGAATATAGATTGGGAGGATTCGAATTTGTCACTGGAGACGAACAGAAAAATTAGTACTAAGAAAAATGATCGAGAATATTCTAGAAACGTATTTACCGAAATGACTGAAGTTTATTCTGAGAGGCAAACGAAGAAAAGGTATAAGTATTTTTTTAAGCTATTGCATAGCTGTTATCGCGGACTTTGAACACGGCGACCGAATCAAGGAATCCCGTAACTAAAATAAAACCTAACACCCCCACTCCGCCTACCATGTAGCTCGCGTTCAACACATTCACACATTGCGCTTGTGTAGTGTTTGTGAATAAGCGCGCGGCGTGACGTCGCACTGCATGCGCATCATGAAAAGTCTGCCCATCTCTCTCTCGCGCGGTATAACTTATGAGTGTGAAGGGGACAGTGAATGTTTTGCTTTTGTTAATGTTTATAAATTTAGCGTGGTCTTATTTTATTATTGTTTTAATATTAAATTATTATTGTCTAATTATAATTGCATAAGTTGATAAAAAATGCTATGCAATGCTTTACCGCGGCAGTCCCCGAGTGCCACACGTGTTTTTTTTTTGCCCTAGAACGGTGGAGGAGCTCACTGCCGACTTGGCTTTAACCCTTTGACAGTAGTAGGTCACCGGTGTCCTACGTGGCGTACTGAAGCAATTGTGTCGGTGTATGATAATAATAAAGTGATCCTTTAAACTCAATTCTTTGCTGTCGAAGGCTACGGCAACAGAAACAGAAGGAAAAATCCGGTTCGAGGTTCGCGCCGAAAACCGTCAGACTCACGAAGTTGAACAAAGAATTTTACGAGGACAGAAAATGGCCCTCCGGCGTCGTTAGATACGTCATAAAAGATAACGCGCAATGTAAGTCAAATTACCATCAGCTCATCTATTTATTGCTGTCGAAGAGCGTATGATCGTAATCAGGTGTTAATTATAATTAACCTTGACACATGAGGTCTTTGTCATGTCCGCTCTCTTTCCTCCTTCTCCAGTGCTACAGCTCTTCTTACCTTTGCCCTCCCTCCAAAGACCTCTTTCTTCTTTTTTAAAGATCTTTAAAAATTCTTGGTGCTCTTTGTTGGCGTTAGGATTAAAATAAACAGCAGTCTTCGATTTGTATTTATCTACTCTCTCTCTCTCTCTCTCTGTCTTTCTCCTTCTATCTACTCTTATGTCATCTATTTATCATGGTTCGTAACTATTAGACCAGGCATTACGTGAACTGTTCTGGCCATGAGACCTTTTTTCCAAAATGAACTGTAACTTATGACCATTACAGCAAATTTCTTTAAAAATCGCATTTCCAGGTATTTTTTTCCACTGTCAATACAAAATACTTACCAATTTAATAAGCGCTCTAGGGATCCTTGTACCAGACTTGATCGCATGATTTCCATCTCCAGACGATGTCCCCGGACTAAGAAGACGACTGGAAGAGGTTAACGAGATATTGATGGAGAAGACTTGTGTTAGAATACGCGAGCTATCCGAAGATGAAGTCGGGAAATACAAAGATTACCTCGTCATAGATGATAGTCCAGACTATGTGACTGGAAGAGTTGGGGGCAGACAGGTACCCACTCAAACTATTATTTGTAGTTTAAATTAGGTTATTAAATTGGGTTATTGATGGTTAGATGGCGTAGAGCAGGATGTCAAAGTTTTTAGGATTTTAAAATTTTAAAATCCTTGGGCCCGCGATCTGCTCTCAACACCTGCAGATCGTTGAGTCTCACATACCCCGCGCGCCCCGTATGCTCGGGGACCTCGTAGGAGCTTCGGCCCCCGGCCCGAAAAAAAAAAAAAAAAAAGGACCTCAATGTTATTGGTGTGTGTATTGTTATGTAAACTGATTTAAATAAATAAAAAAATCGGTTGTCTGTAAAATCGGTTTACTGACGATAGTTGAGCGTGACAACGTTATAAGAAAATACTGATGGAATGGTTTTAATTTTTCAATTATCGCAATTATCGTTGCTATAAACAATTGACACCATTCCATCATTCACTTTTCACTGAACTTCATACTTGACGAAAACATGTAAATGTATTATTGTATAGCAGCTGTCCACGCGGACATCGCTCACTCAAGTCGCCTCAGAGCGAGGTAACGCCGCATGAGTCACGTTTTTTCGTGCGTGCAGCCGGCTCCATCGAATTATAAGACGTTGTCACGTCAAAAAATGGTTCGTAAAGCAGTGATAGATAGCTCTAGCGAGCACTTACCACAAGATAGGCGGTCAACTTGCCAAATTTTTTGAGATTTCATTATTGATTTAAACATTACATTAAGATAGGGTATTAATAGGTACATATTAATATTTTAAATGTGTGGTGTGTTTGTTTATCCTTCATTTACGTCAAAACGAAGAATAGGATAGAGATGATTTTTTTAAACGATAGTACTAGGTCAAGAATGTCACTTACAAGCTAGCTTTTAACCAAAAAAAAGTATCTCATTTCCGCGGGTAACTGTTTTATTATCTTTACAGATAAATCGCGTGACACTAACTTTCTAAAATAGAACATTCGGGAATGTTCTAGATTCATTCTGATTATGTAGAGAACATTCTCGCAGACATCTATATATATAAAAGAAAGTCGTGTTAGTTACACCATTTATAACTCAAGAACGGCTTAACTGATTTGGCTGAAAATTGGTGAGGAGGTAGCTTAGAGCCAGGAGAAGGACATAGGATACTTTTTATCACATTCCCGTGGGACGTGACATAAAACGTGGTATAACAAAACGCAACTGATATGGAATAACAAAACGCAACTGACAGCTAAACGTTCTATGGTTAAATTTTGAAGTTGACCGGTTGATGTGTTTGAAACAAACCGTGTGGCGGAGCAAAGCTCACCGGGTCCGCTAGTTAGAACATAAAATAAATGTTTGTAGAACATTCGAGAGACGTGACGTTTTCTTCTATATCCTTTTTGTTGCTCTCTGACAAGCCGTTACTCGCACCGACATGGCGACACAACAATACATTTCAAAAAGAGACTCATTGTTTTGTTTTGGCGTTTCTTCTTAGGACTGTGGATTTTTTTGGAATCGGTAATAGAAATGAAACATGTTTTTAAATACAACAGATAGATGCGTTTCGATGATATTTGAAATTGATTTGAACTTCATTTCGTCTGATAAACATTTCGCAAGTACATAAACATCATGCAAACGAATAAACTATCTATGTATTAATACGTGAAGCAAAAACTTTGTACCTATCCCTTTTTACGAAAATTGCGCGAACGGAGGAGTATGGAATTTCCCACACTTATAGAGAATATAGAGAAGGTGTGCAGAAAGCTAATATTTTTTTTAAATTATGCATTAATAATAAATTAAATCAATAAAGAAAACGTTACACACACTACCATGTATTTGACACACACATACCTATGTAGACTCATTGTCAAACTTTTGTTATTGCATATAATCTGTGGTCAAATTGAAAATAGCTTTTTATTATTGTTTGTCTTTAATATTATTTGTCTACAGTGTAGTATTGGCGAAATCAGTGATTATAGAAGTAAAATAGTCTTTGATAATAGAACCATAATAATGTACCTACAAGCTTATGATTTCAATTAATTATAGTCGAATTTCGACTACTGCGGGACCACTAGTCTTAATAATATCCAGATATACGTAAATCAAAATACAGTCACCCCCCCTTATTTTGTTTATCGAAAGTTCTAGATGGAATACCTGTTTACGAGTTACCGCGGCGAATATCAACAACGTCATTGAAAATTTTAATACTTCAACCTTATGTTAATGCCGGATGCTGTTTTGAATTTCATTTCATTTGTAATTTAAAAAACGTCATTTATTTTATGTATTTAGATTAAATAGTTCTTCAACGGCACGAAGTTGTATCCTTAGAGTATACATAAGCAAGCATTAGCATTAGTATGTATACTCTAAGGTTGTATCATATTCATCGATAGTTATGAACGTCCCCGAATCTTGATCAGGCAGGAGCAAGTCACCGTCGTCGCCCTAGGCACGTCCTTACGGATCCATCAGATCCAATAACTCTTGCATTAGATACCTTCAGCTCTAACACTAGGAGCAGGCTGAGGAACCCCGGTAACCGTACTCGTCGAACTCGACAAAGAGGTCGACGTGCAACCTAACCCATGCATCAGCCCGCTGATTTCTCGCCGGATCTTCTCAGTGGGTCGCGATTCCGATCCGGTAGTAGATTCATTCGCGAAGCAATTGCTCTTGAGTTGTTAGGTTTCCTTCGGAGGCGCTCGGGCAGTTGTTAGCAAATCCCACCCCTCCTGGCTGAGCCTTTGCTCGCCCACCTGTCCTAGTGAAACTGGAAAGGCCTCCGGGCCATCAGTAATCTTTCAATCATAAAAAAAGTCATGAACTGGCCTTTTCTTTAGGATAAGACGTCCGGTGCATTCGTGTTGAGCGATGCACCGGTGTTCGAATCTCAGTCGGTTACTAATTTTTCTAATGAAATACGTACTCAACAAATGTACACGATTGACTTCCACGGTGAAGGAATAGCATCGTGTAATAAAAATCAAACCCGCAAAATTATAATTTGCGTAATTACTGGCAGGATCTCTTGTGAGTCCGCAGTAATGCGTTTCGGTTTGAAGGGCGGGGCAGCCGTTGTAACTATACTTGAGACCTTAGAACTTATATCTCAAGGTGGGTGGCGCATTTACGTTACAGATGTCTATGGGCTCCAGTAACCACTTAACACCAGGTGGGCTGTAAGCTCGTCCACTCATCTAAGCAATAAAAGAAAAGAAGATAAAACACGAACTTAAGTATTTGATTTACTTGTGAAATGGCTACATACCTACTTAAGAAATTAAATAAAGCCATCGCGTCAAAAATGGCGGGAGATTTATAGGAACCATAGGTTATGCAAAATTGAGATCAAGGATGCAGTTCAGACTGCCAAGTGTAGAGCCGCTAGAAATTATTATTTTTGGTGTAGATTAGCATAGAGGAGCTCAGCCCACCGGGTGTAAAGTTAACACCCGAACTAATATAATTATAAAATTAATCCTGACACCCGCCTCGATAAGTACTAATCATAATGAATTGCTTATCGGTTGTGTATTATCTTCGAAATGAAGATAGGGATAGGTAAGACTATGATTATCAGCGTACAGCTTACTAAAAAACGAATACGTCAAACCATCGGTGGTCACATAGTAATGTTTTTTTAGCCGACTTCAAAAAAAGGAGGAAGTTCTCAATTCGACTGTATGTTTTTTTTGTATATTTGTTACCTCATAACTTTTGACTGAATGAGTCGATTTTGGTGTTTCTTTCTCATTAGAAAGCTGACGCTTCCCGTGTGGTCCTATTACAATTTAGTCCAGTTCTGATAATGGTATCCATGAGAAAACCATATACCTAAGTCTTAAATTTGCATTAGGTACGTGCGCGACGAATTCGTGAATAACTCAATAACTCAATATCACGTCAATTCGATGATTATTGTTTTTAGTGTATATTAATTTGTTTTGGAATAATTTATTTTCTATTCGAAGTCGGTTTTTGTTAAAGCTTGTCTATTTACAATTACTAGAGGAATTGTAAGTTTGTACACTATTAACTTTGTATTTTATACTTCTATAGTCACAAATTTCGCCAAGACTACACTATAAAAAATATTAACAAAGATAAACAATATTTAATCTATTCTCAATTTGACGACAGACGTCAAGAACAAAAGTTTGACATTATATAGTATGCATGCGTGTGTGCGTCAAATACATGGTATGTAGTGTGTGTAATGTTTTCTTTATTGATTTAATGTATCTTTTATGGATTATTTTAAAAAAATATTAGCATTGTGCACTTCTTCTCTACATTCTCTATAAGTGTGGAAAATTTCATACTCCTCCGTCCGCGCAATTTTCGTAAAAAGAGATACAAAGTTTTTTCTTCACGTATTAATATATAGATTGTTGAAATAGTTGAGGATGTTGTCGCTATATATACCTTAAGTTGAACTTTTAATTCGTATAAAAATATGGCTAGCCTATCAGAGGCAGTAGTAGCAGGGTTTAAATACAATCGAAGTTTATTTGTTTGTTTCAAAAATATTTTAAAAGTACCACAGCGCGAAAACGATAATTGTCATTTAGAATGTTGTCAAGCATTACGATAAAGTTCAATAGTAAAACGTGTGAATGAAATAGTTAAAAAGTTCTCTATCTCTAAAAATCTCTGTCAAGGTCGGCCATGTTTGCCAGCGGTTTGCTTGTAAGAGACAGAGCACGCTTATTGCCGAATCGTACAAGTGCGTGAAGGATAGACGATCTTGGTCATCAATGACGTTAGTTCGAAGGATGAAAGAATTGGGTTGCAAGCAACTTAAAAAATCTTGGAATTACATTTTATTTTTATTTTTGTTTAAGCTATTAAGAGTATACCGTTTTGGTTAAAACCAAAATTAGTTTCATCGTGTTTTATTATTATTATTCATTGTGTATTCTGGATTCTTAGAAGAGAAGAAGAAAAAAAGTGCTTTTAATGAAGGTTTAAAGTTTTCAACTGTTGTTTTTTTCCCTGATGTTTTTTATTATAGGTTATTTTGATTTATTTTGTTTTGAAATCAAGCATTTCGCTTTACAACTTTATGATAAAAATCATTTTAAGTTTGTATTGATTATGTTGATGTATTGTGATGGATGATTACTTTTGATGTTATCAACCTTTGTTAAGGCAGTCGTGGAAAACAATAGCTCAGCTAATCATGACAACATCTCTAATTGTACATATTCAGAATGTGAGATTTCAAAAAAAATACCTACATTAAACATACACATACATACGTAAAAAAAAGCAGAGGCAAAAAAAGGAACAAATTTATGGGAAACTTATTTTGTTAATCTGACATCCCACTTCGAGAAAATTCTATCAATCGCGCTTTCTGATTGGTCAGACTATTGGACTTTCTTGAATGTTCTCGATTCGTATTGGTCGCTACGTCAGCAAGTGTATAAATAGGGGGCGCGCGCGGGAAACTTTAGTAGTTTGAATCTTGCAGTTTTGTAACACGTATTTACAATTCGATCTTCTCAAAATGGTGGCTATAGGCATCGATCTTGGGACTACGTATTCGTGTGTGGCGGTCTGGAGGCAAGGACACGTGGAAGTTATACCCAACGAACAAGGTAATCGTTCAACTCCATCTTACGTAGCTTTCACAGAGACGGAACGACTTATAGGCGAATGCGCTAAGAACCAAGCGGTTTTTAACCCGCGCAACACGGTTTTTAGCGCTAAGCGCTTAATCGGACGCCGCTACGACGATATCGGAGTCCAAATGGACCTACGGTATTGGCCATTCAATGTCGTCAATGAAAACGGTAAGCCAATTATATCGGTTACATACAAACGCGATACGAAGCGGTTCGCTCCTGAGGAAATAAGCAGTATGCTACTTTTCAGGATCAAGGAGATGGCCGAGGCGTATCTCGGGTGCGAAGTCGATAAAGCAGTGATCACTGTGCCTGCTTATTTCACGGACTCCCAACGTCAAGCCACTAGGACGGCTGGCGTCGTCGCTGGCTTTCAGGTCCTCAGGGTGACGAACGAGCCGACAGCAGCCGCCCTCGCCTACAGCATAGACAAGAAACTTAAAGGCAAAAAGATCTTAGTTTACGACTTAGGCGGTGGCACATTCGACGTTTCGATCCTGATCATCAAGGACGGTCCGGTGTATGAAGTGAAAGCGACAGCCGGCAACACTAGATTGGGCGGAGAGGACTTTGATAACAGATTAGTTGCGTATTTCTCTGAGGATTTCCGCAAGCGGTTCAATATTGATATAACGAAGAATCCGAAGTCGTTGAGGAGACTCAAAACTGCTGCGGAGAGAGTTAAAAGGTTTCTCACTTCGGCCACCGAAGCAACAGTACAAGTCGAGTCCTTGTACGATGACATTGACTATGTCGGAAAGATTTCTCGGACCGTATTCGAAGAGCTATGCTCTGATTTATTCAACGACACGTTCAAATTGATCGAGCAGGCTTTAGCCGATGCGAGGCTGAAGAAAAATGACATAGATCGTGTAATTCTGGTCGGAGGTAGTACGAGAATACCAAAGATACAGGAGATGCTACATGAATACTTCGAAGGGAGGGTGTCGGCATGTCTGAATCCCGATGAGGCTGTAGCGCATGGAGCCGCCATCCAAGCAGCGATATTGAGTGGAGAACACGACGTTAACATCCGAGACCTGCACCTCGTTGACGTGGTCCCATTATCGTTGGGCGTCGAGACAGTCAGAGGAGTAATGTACAAAGTCATCGAACGAAATACATCTATACCCTGTCGAAGGACCAAAGACTTGACCACTCTAGATGACTACCAAAACAGCATGACAATCGAAGTTTTCGAAGGCGAACGAACGCTAACGAAGGACAACAGCTTACTTGGAGTATTCGATCTCCACGGCATTCCACCGGCTCCGAGAGGTGTCGCGAAAGTCGATGTCACATTCGATATAGACGCGAACGGCATCTTGAGCGTGACCGCGCGAGATCGGAGCACCGGTAACTGCAAGAGTATCACTATAAAAAACGAGAACAGAGTCTCTCAGCTGCAGATAGGGAAAATGATAGCAGATGCCGAAACTTACCGCGAAGAAGACAGGGAGAATCAACGGAGATTGGAGTGCAGGAACCAGCTCGAAACCTATATCTACGATGTTAAGAACAGAGCGGAGAATAGTCATGAATTAGGAGAAGAAGAACGCATGCAGATTAAGAAGGAATGTGAGAGCGCGGTGGAGTGGTTGGATGATAACGGGGATTGTTTGAGAGAAGAATTCGAACGGAAAATGACTGAGCTGATGAGGCAGTGGTCTGTTGTAATGCAGAAGTTGTACGGTGGCTCTTTGAGACATATAGCGAAGAGACAGAGAAGCGAGAGCTACCAGGTCCCAGAGGAGAATGAATTTGCCATCGAAGACATTCTGGAATAAGGGTTATTGTAACCGTATGGTATAAAAAAAATTCGGAATTTAGAATCTATAATAGTTTTTTAAAAATATCTATCTCATCTTCGGTTTAATGATTTAGAATTAAAAATGTTTTATTTTTGCGTTTGGCGTAACCATCAAAGGTGAGTTTTTGGCGGTAAAGTTGTTTGTAATCTGTCCGAGCCGTAATATTTTGGCGAATTCATTTAGGAGTTTTATTAGTTTTATAGCAAGTTACCATAACTAATTGCACGTTGATGACATCGGAAACAAGGATTCCTTAATTGATATTCTCTGAAAAGGACGGAAATATATCTCTGTCTCTCCTCGTCATTAAATCATCATTAATGTTATTATATTTCTTGTGGTTTTTGTGCGAGCTATACGGGCTTAACTATTTTAACTAATTTATGGACCTTTTATTTTTAGGTGGAAGTTTCTGGAATATTCGAGAAAGAACAAAAATTACATTCAATGAATACGTTTTAAAAAGCGTTGATTTTGACTGAATTGAACCAAATAGATTATTCCAGAACGAACTGTTACGATTGTTTTCTTTATTTTGTAGTTTGAAGCTTAAGCCAAAATGTAGTTCGAAGAATATGAAGATTATTTACAAAATTAAGACACGCTACTAATGACAACAAAATTTGGTAAGTCAAATGTAAAGTTAAAAAATCTAAATTTTGAAAATAAAACTACACATTGATCTCGAATATTTGTTTGATTTTAATTTTACCTTTCCTTAATTCCTCTTTTGTAAGGTAGTGTGGAATTTAATATGTTTAACCCTAACGATTTACAAAAACAATTTTAGTATTCGCCCGCCTATTAGGCACCGCCTGTGGTTTCTCGAAACCTTTGCCTCGAGTGAAGATAATTATCTAACTAAATTCAATAACACTTAATGAACTATACATACACAAAACCTTTACCCAAAAACCTTATTCCTTTCTTCTTCTTCTATATCATTCCCTCACTGCTGAGGTTCGCAACCACGTGACGTTCCTCCACAGTGTTCGATCATGAGTGACATGGACCGCATCGTACATACTACCACCAAGTGCTTCCCTTACTAGATCTGACCTTATCCTATATATATATATATATACACCTATATTATGGAAATATAATTTTAAGTATAGTCTTAACCAACTATATTGAGTTTAATTTATTGCTCACACGGGTAAAAGAGCTCACTGCATACCTGTGTGCTTAGTGCGAGTTTCTTAACGTTCTCGATAGCGTAAAAGTTAACCCAATTTTGTGTGCAGTTGGAACAGCGCCCCTAGCGGCAAACGTAGGCAAACGATCCCATTCCATACAAATATGAGGTAACTTTTACGCTATCGAGAACGTTAAAAAAACTCGCACTAAGCACACTAGTGTATAAAAGGTACCGGAGCTTATAGACATCAACAACGGCCTCACCGTTCAAACCTGAACGCGTTACCACTTCAGTATGGCAGGGTGGTGGCACCTATCCGTGCGGGCTTACAAAGTGCCCTACCACGAAATTAAAGGCGTTCGTAAGATTTATGGAGTGTAGAAGTAAGGCGCACCATCTCAGTGTCTTAAAAAGTGTCTACCGGATGGCCGCAAATTAAGGTGGCGCCACAGTAGCAAGTGGATAGATTTAAAACACAGCTCCATTGACTACCACACTTCACTTCAATCCAATGGTAACAAGTGGAAAGAATTAAAAAACGGCACCATAAACATACTGCACTTGACTCTGTTTGAAGCTGCTATTTTCATATCATTTCCACTTCCTACACTAGCGCTAAGAATTTCGGTGAGGCTTCCAACAACAACTCGCCGCTTACAGGCGGACACTTTTTCAACTTTTCCCCTATACAAGATAGTACTCCTTACTTCTATCTTTCGGGTTTGGTATTAAAAAATTCATTCACTACTTTTTCTGCAACGAACTTATGGAGGATTGAACCTACCCACAATAAAAAAAGAAGTTCCGAAAATTTAAATTTATTACAGAACTTTGGCAGCATTGAGCTGCTGCGCGGCGGCCAACATCGACAGCATACCGCCATGATGGTCATGGCGATGCTGGGCTTCTACTTCGAAGTGGCCCGTCACGACCGCGACCTTTACATTAAGGTTCACCCCAGACACATCAGACCCGGTTCGTATCGCCCCTCGTGCCTTAACACGTTCATAGATGCACACTCTTTAACTAATTAAAACTGCTTTACGGCTTGCTTAACTCGTATGTGTATAGTTTTAGTCATATTGTTAGGCCTCCCTCTCCCCAAGGACCTATTGAGGTTCGAGGGGATTGGCTGTATGCAGGCAGCGCAAAGAGCGGTCGTTGTGGCGCGGTTTAGGGGAGACCTATGTTCAGTAATGGACCTCTCTGGGCTGAAAGCTCACATAAGCTACAATTTAATGGCATAAGCACCACGTGTTGCTGAGGCTAAAGTATAAGTGAAATTTATTTCGTAGTAAACGCAATACAGTGAAATCCAATTGTTCTTACTTTGTCAATTTTTGGTATAAGCACAGCCGGCCGCTTGTTATTTAGAAACAAAAACCTTAGCCACAGCAACGTGTAGCCGTTTGCAAGTATTTGAATATAAACAAAAAAATAAAGATTTCTAGACATTTGACGTTTCGTTTCATTAAACTTCCACGGTGAAGGAATAACATCGTGTAATAAAAATGAAACCCGCAAAATTATAATTTGCGTAATCACTGGTGGTAGGACCTCTTGTGAGTCCGTGCGGGTAGGTACCACCGCCCTGCCTATTTCTACCGTGAAGCAGTAATGCGTTTCGGTTTGAAGGGTGGGGCAGCCGTTGTAACTATACTTGAGACCTTAGAACTTATATCTCAAGGTGGGTGGCGCATTTACGTCGTAGATGTCTATGGGCTCCAGTAACCACTTAACACCAGGTGGGATGTGAGCTCGTCCACCCGTCTAGCAATAAAAAAATAAAAATTTTTTTTTACTTAAAATGTAATAAAGCCTGCGTGTGATCTGTGATCTCGATTACACAGATAATCCAATAGATTTTTTTCGTTTCGTTTATCTTATGGAGGGTAGTAGTAAGTAGTACCATGTTGTATAAGGGACAAGTTGAAAAAGTGTCCGCCTGTAAACAGCGAGTTATTGCTGGAAGACTCACAGCGAAATAGCGCTGGTGTAGCAAGTGGAAATGATATGAATATAGCAGTTTTGTACAGAGTGAAGTGTGCTCGGTTGAAAATTTTTCTTGACTTGAAAGATATGCAGTATTTAAAATTTCAATTATTTATTTTTATTACTATTTCAGTAGGAGGCGTTTCTTTATTTCTAAATTTAGTTTTCTACTTCAATAGTTCATGGCGATGTTTTCAAAATTCTTCCACTTGCTACAGTGGCGCCACCTTAATTGGCTCTTTTCAGCGGACACTTTTTAATACACTGAGATTGTATTCCTTACTTCTACTCCATAGTTTATCAGGAACTACAACATAATAAAATGTTATTTATTGTCTTCATATAAAAACGAAACGTAATAACAGTTTTAATTGTGGCCACGATTAACGAGAACGAGAGAAAATAGTAAGGCTGATACGTTACGGTGTAGTATTCTTAACAATATTAGGAGTGAGTGATCGACGACCTCTAAAACTCCACTAAGTAAGGACAGGGTCGGATTTGTTCCCTGCCAAAACGCTGGTATCCTAAGGGGCTATTCCAGCTACGCCCTGACGGATAGGTGAGCTCACAGGCTTAACCTGAGAGAATTGCTAGCACTAGCCCTATCAAAAGCAGTGCTTCGCTGAATCTACCACCGGATCGAAATCGCGACCCACGGAAAAGATCCAGTGAGAATCTCAGTGAGTTTGTATCTATGGATAGGCAACACGTCAAAATTTTCCATGCCTTCTACGACTTCGGAGAAAAGTGACAGTCAAACCGATTTAAAACAACACAATTTCCAGATAAGCTCCATCATTTTGAGAAAATACGACCTGACGCCACGTTTGATTTGGCGTACGACTACAAAAGCGCCACACACCCGGCCTGGCAGTACTGGAGGCAAATAGGCAGGACCGGAATATCTTCGGTTGCGACCTACAAAGATCAGGTCGTTAATAAGTCCTTTAATCTATATACTAATATATAAATCTACAGTGAAAACTTATTTAATATTGTTGTGATTCGAAAGTCAATGAAACGAAAAAGCGACACTAAAAAGAGACAGACACATCCATACTAATATATAAAGCTACAGTGGTTTTTACGGATGTTCCGTTATAACTACTGAACCGTGCATCCGATTGACTTGAAACTTGGTATCCATGTAGAAAATACATGTACTTAATGGATAGGCTAATATTTATATGAATGTTGGACTCTCTACACCAGTTGCGGGGGTGTTAATGATGAGAATCTTTGTGGGGGTGAGAAATAATAATGTTAATTTTAAATGCCTATCGAAGCGGATGGGTACAGCTAGTCTCTTATAAGCTATTAGAATAATGCAACTTTCGCAACCCCGCGTTTTGGTTAAGTGCAGCTGTATGGTTTGCTTAAAACCCTCTCAGTTGTGGCAATGTAACAACTCCAATGTCAGTCGTCGTGGCCTAAAGGATAAGAGGTCCGGTGCATTCGTATGTAGCGATGCACCGGTGTTCGAATCTCGCCGGCAGGTACAAATTTTTCTAATGAAATACGTACTTAACAAATGTTCACGATTGACTTGAACGGTGGAGGAATAACATCGTGTAATAAAAATCAAACCCGCAAAGTTATAATTTGCGTAATTACTGGTGGTGGGACCTCTTGGAACTTCACACGGGTAGGTACCGCCACCCTGCCTATATCTGCCATGAAACAGTAATGCGTTTCGGATTGAAGGGTCGGCCAGCTGTTGTACCGTGAAAACTGAGACCTCATAGAACTAGAATTAGAACTAATATCTCAAGGCATCTACGTTGTAAATGTCTATGGGGTCTGGTTCCGGTGGTCAATTATTATTATTGTTTACTTTGGTCCAGGATCCCGACGGCTCCATAATGCGTTCACTAGGCCAAAACGAAGAGCTGTTATCAGATATCGACATAATCAAGATAAACTCAGTGTATGGAGTCAAATGTTTCCGAAACCAGAACTAATAAAATCGTATTACAGTTTTAATTTTAATATATTTTGTATTTTTTTTGTTACGTTAATTTTTAATTGCTGAAAAACATTTAATCTAAGAAAACTTCTAAATTTGCGTGAATATATTATTTAAGTTTCGGCCTTTCCACAGATAATAATACTTAAGCTTTATAAGGTAATTTAAAAACGGACTCTTTGGTCTGAGTTGAAGTTCGAAAAACAATTTAAAAAAAAAGTCATCATGAGTTTTCTAAAAGTTGTGTGAATTGCTTTAATTTGTGATTTTAATGTTTCTTCCGATTGATATGTGTAATAACGATGGTTTATTAACTGTTTAGTATCTGTGAAAGTGCACAAACGTAGGAAAATGAAACAAAGCCGCTGGACGTAGCTTATTGGGTTGTCCCAAAAAGCTCACTTTTAGTACATAACCACCGTTTTTCTGAGACTTTATTTCATCGCATCTCATCTCGTGTCATTTAATCTCTATTGATTACAGTCTCAAATAGATCAACTTCAGCTCCTTGCATCCACATAATTTTTCAGTCCACATTATTATTTATTTATATTTGAAAAATTAGGCTGTATGGTATGCTACCTTCGCTTTTCTTGTTGTAAAAAGAAGAATAATCATTTTTGACATTTATGTATTTTGATTACAAAAGCAAAGGCATTCCACACACATCACTGTTCAATAACATTCGTGTTTTCTAAAAGAATATCACTTTTGCTCATCACGTCGTAAACTTCTATATCGTTATTATATATTCGTTTCCGTATAACACATTTTTCCGCGGTTATAATCATACCTACGGCTGTAAAAGATAGAAGGTTTTTTCATTATTATTATGTAATGATATCTTGATTATACTAGGCGACGAAGTAGAGAAGTCGGATATTAATAATTTCAACTTTTCAAATGCAATTTATGTATAAGAAATTTATAAGTTCTAAGTGGGTTGCGGAAATTAAAGTGACTACATATTTCAAGGGCTACTTACTTTTTTTATTTGTATGGCACTTGGTTTAAAGGTTCAGACTTAAAAGTAAAATAAGAGAAACTAGAAAGAGATTTTTATAAAAGTCAGATATTTGGCTTTATTTTATAATACGTATCTCATATCTTACCAGGTCTCTCATGATAACTGACGGTCATACTTTCAATTTTATGCTCTTGTTTCCAACGGAGAAAAACAATTTTTATAATGGCCATTACTAGAGCAATCAAAAATAAACTAACGCCGAATAAAATGGTGTATAAAGCCATTGATTTAATACTACAATTTATGTTTTGGAAACATAATTTGACAAGCCTCGACGTTTATTTGACAAACAACAACAAAAACACAGAGTGCTAAAATCTAAGCTAAACTCATAACAACATAACAAAAAAATTAGATTTCTAAAATTTAGATTTTATTTCAATTCTATTCATACTTCATTCATCTTCATATTTTAACTTGTAAATTGTTAATAATGATTTATGAATAATTTTTTAAATCCAAATATGGCTGTATAAAAAATTCTCTTTAGCCAAACTCAACGTTAAAAGCTTAGAAAAACTGGCGCGAAATAAACACAGGGATTAAATTTTATTGTAACCACGAATTTAATATTGTTGTTCTGTCTACGTAATCATAATTCATATTCATGGCTTAAAAACATTTTTTTAAACAAAACATCATCAAGTTATTTCATAAAAGATTGTCATGTTCAAAGTGATAAACAAATCATTAGTAAATTGGAGAGAGTTATTGTAATAGGTATGAATTACGAAGATTACGGTGAGTGTTTCAAAATATAACTGATTTTGTTGTAGTACATTAAATTATTAGAAATTTATCAATATGCAACCAAACATTCAATGTATTGTGTAAAATATAACGCGAAAGACAAGTTTAGTAAGATTATGAGATTAGTACTGATGTAATATCAAATGCTAGGTATGTGTTTTAATACAAAATATTTAAAGTCACAAAAATAAATACTTTAAATAAAATCTCTGTATTCGAAACTGAAATATTTTATATATATATATTATATTATATATCTACAACGTAAACGTGCCACCCATCTTGAGATATAAGTTCTAAGGTCTCAGTATAGTTCCAACGGCTACCCCACCCTTCAAACCGAAACACATTACTGCTTCACGGCAGAAATAGGCGGGGCGGTGGTACCTACCCGTGCGGACTCACAAGAGGTCCTACCACCAGTAAAAAAATAAACTGTTCGCCCACAGTGCGACACATGAAACACAAATACAGCTTGGCTATAGCTATTGCTGTTCTAAAAACGAAACCCGAAAATGTTACAACGGATGTACATTTAGCAAATATTAAACAGAGAATAAACAGTGATGATGCTGACGATGATGATGATGTAACCGTGTGCAGTGATGATTTCGTTTTTGATGTTAACGATCCATCGGCTTCGCTAGTTGATATAAAAAATGACGGGCCAAGTCGTATTGATGACACGCTTCGAAGTTCAAACGAGACTTACTGCGAGAGTGGCCTTCGAGAAACTGCGAATGCTAATAGACAATCGGATAATGGTAATATTACCGATCAACGAATCCTCGACAGCTTAGTGATTACCGATGAACTAACTAGCGATGACGTAGTTGTAATAAATAATCAAAAGTGTGACGACACGACCACTCTAAAAAGTATCGATGGTAAAATTCGGGAATTAGCTAACGGGAATTCTAGTGTCGCAGCACCTATTAGCAAAGAAATCAATAACGCAATGATCATTGAAGAAAACTATCGTGACAGTGATAATGTTACAATCGAACATCAAGTTTTTGATGTTCTTGCGTTCCAAAATGATCGAATTGAAGATGGCCTTCAAAATAATTTCATAAACCCTCAAAAACAAAATGAAGAGTACTTAAGTGACGTCTTAAGAACTTTAAATGAACTGGACACAAGAGTAAGTTTATATGAATAATCGTATCTATTGTAATAGTTCATCTGCATATACTCGTAACACAGATTTAACATAGATTGAAGTATTTGTTGACTATCGCATCGACTTTAAAATCTTACTCTCACGCACTCACTTATTTCAGCAGTTTCAGTAAAGACACGAATTAAATTTAAAACAACATTTACGGTTCAATCTCGCATTTATAATTGTCATTGCACTATTCAACGAGGTATCGGAAACCTCACAAAACCTTTTCGTGGTTACGGACGATTGAGGTGCTCTTGGGGAAATATTCGAATATTGTGCTGAGCAGAAAAGTAGTTTTAGTTATGTCTGCGATTAATGAAATCCGACGATAAATCACGAAAAACAATATTCTTTTCGTTATTTGAAGAATTTTAGAAATTTTCTAATCGGTCGATTTTTTATTAGATTTTTATAGACAATTTTTAGTTCCTTGCGTGAGGTTAATCGTCCTTTGGATTTTTCCTACCCATTCCCTACCTATTCGCTGTGGTAGCCTAGGGGGCTATTCCAGTTACGCCCGGTCAGATAAGTGAGCTCACGGGCTTAGTCTGAGAGAATCTACTAACACTAGCCTTAGCAAGCATTTAGCATAGGCTCCTTGTCAACATGTAAGCGTTTTCGATTCCAGGACGATTACCTTTCACAATCAACATTCCACGAGAGTTCCCAAGATCGCGTCCCGTCACTGTCCGAAGATCCTAACCACTGCGCCCAGAACCCTAACGAAGAATTCATTAGCAGACGTGCAAAGAAAACGAAATGCATAAACCTAATTGATTCTCAAGAGACTATTATATGTAGTTTGCCGGAAAGCTTCAATCATTACAGTCAGAGTCAAACGCAGAACTTTGTTATCGGGGAAAAGCTAATTCAAAACTTCGACACTCGTAATAAGAATCGACAAATAGACGTTACGTTATGTGATAATAACAAAGAACTTATTAATCAAAATAATGATGTAACGGATTGTTTATTCAGCAGTACGGACAGCAGTAACCAACGCACTGCCAGTCTAAAAAAATTTAGCAGTAATGCTACAATCGATTCTCAATTCAACGAAGCGATAATTGAAGATAACGAAAAGCTTATTCGATGTAATAATGAAAATGTAGACTTTGATTCAATGAAACCCCAAAAAGAAGCCGTTCCATTCAAAGTTATCGGCGAAATTAATAAAGTTAAAACTTTTTTGCAAAGGAGAGATTCTAAAAGAATCTGCGATGGGTATTCAAGTGATTCTGGTTATAAAAGTGATTGGCCAATTAAACTGAACGGTAAATATAATTACGTTATCACGTCATACGTCGTTATAGATGTAAATATAGTGGATTATTATGTCATTACAGATTTAAAAAATAATGAAAATGGGGTATAAGTCAATTCTGCTAATAATGAAATATGCGGATATTGGTGGGTCTTGTTGGTGACCTAGAGAGCAGTCAGCTCACAACCATTCACATACAGATTCTTATCGCCATCAAACGACATTCAAATTTTCAATAATCCAATTTAAGATCACGATCACCACTTTCATCTAATTTTTGTGAGCATGTGTGTGTGTTGTAATGATTTTGTGAAGAGTATTAAGCGGTAGGCTGCGGCTTGGGTCTGCCCCTGGCATTGCTGACGTCCAAAAGCGACGGTAACCACTCACGATTAGGTGGGTCGTGTGCTCGTCTGCCTACAAGGGCAATAAAAAAAAGTAAATTTTGACTTAATTTACCCCTCCCTATAACACTAAATATGTCATCTAGATTTAGCAATGAGTTTTCTCGATTAGACATTAATCGCCTTTGCTCCTCCCTATCTACGTCCGTCTGTAGAAACAGTTTGCTCGCCTATCCAAGTATCGAACTATACACCCATAGACATAATATCCCGCAGTCTTGAGACAGTTCAAGCTCTATGAACGCACAACACACTTCCAGTCACACAGCAGTCTGGTAGCTGGTTGAATCAGGCGGGACACTGTTTGTACTCCCATATAATCAGCTGTAATCATCAGCCAACCACCGAAGACATTACGAACGAGGTCTCTCAGGTTAGTGGGCAATTTGCATCTTGGAGATTAAATTCAGTGGTTAGGTCAGCTAGTAGAGAGATATTTTAATCACAGTCTCGCATGACTTGGAACGACCACCATACGTACTCACTCGGCTTAAAGGGCAGTGTTTCCTTCTATCCAATCGCCGTCAAGCTCGAGGGGCTGTTTTGGCTTTTCCTAACAGATAGGCAAGCTCTCAGGGCTCAACATGAGAGAATTTACTAACATCAGCCCTAGCAATAGCAATGTTTTGCTAAGGAATCGCGACCCATTGCCAAGATTCGACGAAAAAGTCAGTGAGAAAGATGTGTCTATTGGGAAGACACCCTTACGTGAATTGACATAATTTACAAATGCTATGCGCCGAAATATTATCGAAAACATATGAAATACGAAAATCGTGTAAAGAACCATTTAAATAATAGCTTGTGTGATGTAGATAGACGCGAAAGCTTAAAGCAAGTTTTTTTTAGTGATCGTAGGATGTCTTGGACGCACGGATGGGTACCACCACCCTGGCTATTTCTGCCGTGAAACAGTAATGCGTTTGGAAGGGTGGGACGGTCGTTAGATTGTACAAAACTAACCCTAAGAACTCTTTTCTCGTGGTGGGTGGCGGTATTTACGTTGTAGATGTCTATGGGATTAAGTGATCACTTGAAACCAGGTGCTCGTTCAAAGATCTACACAATAAAAAAAAGGAATTCAAACATTAAATCGAACCATTTCGTATAAGGCCTCTCTCGGTATACTACAAACTAAAACCCGTCTAGGTCTTATTCCTTAGGTCCTAGGCGATTTAATAGATAGATTGCACGAAGAAGAATTGTATCCTGAATTCTTAGAAGAACTACTGAATTACATTGAACTTACACTAAAACGTATATACGAAGACAATGACTTTGATAACATCGTAAGGATTTGAATTTTTCTTATTTTATACATCTTACATACATCGTAACTGTTCTGCTGTGGGCTTTACTCGGTCTTATAGTACCATTATACATACAGGGTGTGGAAAAACCCGTTCTGATATCAAAGAATAAACTAGTGTGATTAAAACAAAAAATATGTGTAGTTTAAAAGATAATAATAACACACGCCTTAATAGCCATCCATACTAAAAACTGTATTTATCATTTTAGTCAACTAGGTATGTCAGGATTTTAGGCGAAATTGATGATATTGCCCGTCCGCTGTAATAGCGCCTTAGGCTCTGACCAAGCGGGGTATTCTGTAGGATAACTTACTCTAACCGACGTCATCTAGGCGGACTTCGGATTTGGTGACCGAGAGGGCTGATGGTCGTGTCGCCGACGACCACCGGTCCGGCGTCCCGAGAGGAAGGATGATGGGAGAGATGTGCTCCGCACTAAACGCTTCCCTCTCCCCCCTTTGCCTTTTCATGAGTTCTGTCTCATGCGAGGTTTGAACGTTAGTTGTTGAGCGACAGGTTTTAGTCGGTTCGACTCCGACATGCCCCACCCGCCATCCCCATTGGGGAGAGGAAGTCCGGCGATTTCCTAAGGCTACCAGCGAATAAGTAGGTACGGGAAACATATCGAGGGGGTATGTAATTAAAGGTCCGTTTTATTTGGTATTAGAACGAACAGTTCGATGTTTTTAATTGAACTTCAATTAAGTTTACCCCATTTAAGTTTAAGCTGAAGAGGTTTTCTTTGTTATGATATTTTTTCCAAATTTTAATCTATAAATGGCTCTCCTGTAATGTTGTAAAAATGTCGCTTAAACCAAATAACCTTTCACCCCTCGATGTGTACACAAATATCATACTAATGTTTTCGATACGAGTGCAATATTTCAACTTAAACGAGCATCGTCAAGAAATCTAAAAGCCTTCCTGTTTTTTTTATGTTTTTTTGTTCATTTATAAACTTTCAGCTGTTGAACAAAGATGAAAAAATCCAAAGGATAATTCTCTTGTGCGGATCGATGCACGTTAAAAAATACACAATAGACCGTTTATTGGATTGCTTAAACGATCTATATGAGAAATTGAATTTAGACGAAACAGAAATTAAACATATAAATCTGATAGAAAACGCTTGTTACGTGTTTCATTTATTAGAATTAATTATATCGAAATACATGAAGAAGCGTAATTTGTTCAGTCAGAGCAGCTCGCAGTCGCAGGACGACGAGAGGAGCTTAAAAAAGAGTTCCATTACCGAAATATGGCGCAAGAAATGGATACCGAACTACGGGGATGTAGTAAGCACAAGTGACGTCACCGAGAAAGTGTGCATCGAAATTAGATGCAGCGAAGTTCTGAACAAAATAGTCGTTGGCTGTATGGACGGTTACAGTTTGCTGTCGTATTCAGCTTTGAAATGTTTCAATCTATTGCAGCCTTAATAAATATTGGTGTTTCAATTGCGCCAATTCGAAAAACAAATTGTTACAATCTACCGCCAAATGGAATACCGACCACAGTTTACTAATAAGAACAAATACTCCTGCGACTTTCATAGATTATTTTGTCTGTTATCTATCATTATTTTTGATAGCAAAGGGTGATGGGACCAAAACAGCCACTCATTAAGACTCGCGTGGATCTATCGTGACTTTTGCAGATCCCTGTCTGGTGCTATTCCAGCATAAATTGGTCTATTTTAATTAAACAGATATTGTCGTCAGAGAACACGCTCTCGGTCAAGCGAATTTTTTGCTGCACAATATGATCAGATACATAGCGTATGCAGAGGGAATTGTATTAACTACTGTTGCAAATGATGTGACAATAAAAACCAACAGCGTAACGACAAGTTCTTTTATTTGTGCGAGAATGCAGAAAGCAGGTAGAAATGGCTGGCACGGCTTGTTTTATTAACACTATCCCCCCTTCGTTGGCTTTGGCTGGCGGCGGTGGCGGTGGCTGTGGCGGAAGGGGGCGTGTTAATATGGCTTGGCGGCTTGGCTGGCGGCAGGGCATGACAGCTGACGTCACGTCCGTTACATTCGGCCATCCTGCAACAATTGCTCCCGCAATGGGGAACACACAAAAACATTTAGTTCTCAAATAAATCAATAAGGTCTTCAGTTTCGAGCTGCTCATCGGAACTACTAGCGCTATCGGACACATGGGCTATACTTTTATAGGGCTTTAATGAATCTGTTGATACCAGGCCAGTGAAGTTTTTATAACTTCGTAAACCTTTTAGATATACTTCTAATTCGATAACAATTGTTACCTACTACTTTAGTTACTACATACGGACCTGAGTATAAATCGTCTAATTTGGTATTAATCCTAGCGGCGCTACTAACCAGTTGGCGCCTGTCTCTACGATACAAAATGCCTTTTCTTATAAACATGAGCTTTTTTTTTATATTAATGTTGTGTGTTATTATTGTACTCGCTTGTTTTATCCTAGCTGCAGCTATCTTACGCCGTGCGTCCACAGTTTCTGGTTCGAGACCAGGAATCGAAACATCACATATTGACCTACCAGAGCGCGCAAAGATTAAATCTTAAGGCTTGTAGCCGCTGTTACTTTTAATTGTGTTGTTTGTGCCTCAATTGACGGAGTTCACTAAATTATTTGTAGCTTCACTAGGATCAGTTGCCCGCAACACATAAAATTGTATGTTTAGTTTGTTCAACCTGGCCAATTAGCGCGCGGACAAGCAATACCGTTTAACGTATGCCTAAACTGTTTATCTTCTGATATATTTTTTTAAAGTACCTACTCGTAAAAGCTTTCCCGTAGTCTGTCACCACGTGATTCGGGTATCTGGACAAACCCTATTAATATATTTTTCAATGCACGAATGGTCCCGATTGAATTTACAGTACGCGTTAGTTCAGCTATCACAAATTTAGACAACGCATCTTTCATTACGATCATGTACTGGTTGGTGCCCTTTAGATTTCCTACAGAAGGGCATCATGTTATCTATTTGTACCATGCGCATAGTATCAGATGGTTTAGAGATCGGATATAGACATTCTTTTTTTTAACATAGTTATCCTTCTCATGTGTACAATAAAGACATGCTGCCACGTTTTTCCTAATAAAGCGTGTCATTTTAAGAAACCAATATTGGCTTTTAATCAAAGCTAAACGATGATTTAGATCCACGTGACAAATGTCGTCATAGTGCATTTGTACAATTTTCCATTTAGCCGAAGGGACTGCGAGTCTATTTCCCTTAAAAAAATTTCGAACTAGTTCATAATTATCTTTAACATTATTTACTGGTACTTCGCTTGTATTGGCCTTAGCGTGACACAGTGATGGTCTTAGCGGTCTTAGCGTTATATAGCCTATAACCTTTCTCAATAAATGGGTTATTTAACACTGAAAGAATTTTTCAAATCGGACCAGCAGTTCTTGAGATTAGCGCGTTCAAACAAACTCTTCAGCTTTGTAATGCTAGTATAGATTGCTCTATAATCGAACTATGCTTTTCGTCCTGACATTGCACAGTACAGAATCAATTAGTAACTTTAGATAATTTACGTTCATCATGTCAACAGGATGCCTATTAAGCGCGTCTACAAATGTTCCATACGTTCACCAGGTCTATACTCAACACTAATGTCATAATCTTCTTTCAAAACTCACCATCGCGCCATGCGTGGTATAATGCCGCGTTTGGTAAGCGTAGCACAAACCACAGTACAATCAGTTTCTACTATATCATGCTTACCTACTTCATAAACACGGAACCTACGTAGCGATTGTACGACCGCCAGGTTATGAGCTCTTAACTATGATACAC